CTGGTCTTGTCTTTTAATACAAATAATAAGCAAAACATTTACAAATAAATTAGCTTTTGCAAATAGAAAAATACTGAATAACACAGATAAAACAAATGACTGAACAGAAATAATAAAATGATTATATATTCAGATTTGACAATCTTAGTATCCTGTTTGGATGACAAAAAGATAGATACATCTAAAGAGATCTGAATTAAATGGTTTTAAAACTTATTATAAAATATTTATTTATTTACTTATTATTTGTGGTGCCATATGAGCTATCATTGCCAACCTATGCAATTTTAGTAGCTTTTGATAAGAGTTTGAATTTTAATTCTGTTCATTTTAGTTTTTATGAAATGTAATATTTTTTGCAAGTTGTCATTTTGCCATATTGTTTGTATGTCTAGTATTTATTTATAGTTAAATATTATTTGTTTTTTGATGATTATTTTTAATAAAATTATGTATATATTCTTTCATTTATTATATATATTCTTTAAAAAATTATATATATATATATATTTCATTAAGTCAAGAGCTGTCTGGAGCTCAAAATAATGTTATTGTAGTAATAGTGCTCTGTGAGAATCATGTTTAGGTGTGTGTGTATGTGTGTAATAGGAAGCCTATTCACAGCATTTCCTGTGCTGGCTCAGGACCCATGGGAACACACTGACGAACACATTCAAGCAGAACAATAATCCAGAGTAACTTCATTCTCTTGCCATCTGAGAGTAAAAGTCCATTTCAAAAACATCCAAAAACTTAAGATGTGTCCCAGCGCTAATTTGTATCTTAAAAATAAACTCCTTTAAAATTCATTCTGAAATAATTGTCTGTCTGTTCACCTTCACTGTAAGAAAAAAAACAGGAGCTGCCTTTAATTTTTAAGTTAAATCAAATTAGCCTTACAAGTCATTTCAACTAACATTGCATTAAACTGACAATAAAATATCAAGTTAGGCCTCGCATAGCTTAAAAAACTGAGTTGAAACATGGATGTCCCATTTTAATAAGTTTAGTTAACATTTTAAATGTGGGCAGCACGGTGGCACAGTGGGTAGCAGGCCCGGATTGGCTAATTGAGAGGACCAGGAGAATTACCGGTGGGCCGGTCCGTTTTTTGGCCGCGAGGGCCAGTGTCCTTAGCTGCTTGCACTCTCAGCAGTCGCACTTTTTTCATTTATTCATTTATTTGACCATAACCTCACTCTTTTTATACATTATTTTGCCGCAGCTCCGCTCTTTTTATTTAGTTTCTCGCAGTTTATCGCAGGTTGTGGCTGGAAGGGCATCCTCTGCGTAAATGATATGCTGGATAAGTTTACGGTTTATTCCGCTGTGACGGCCCTTGGTTAATAAAGGGACTAAGCCAAAAAGAAAATGAATAAATAACAAATTAACCATAAAAATGTGACCATGGCTTACATTTACACATTTGGCAGACGTTCTTTTCAAAAGTGACTTACCCACATTCAAAAATACTGTAGTAATTCATAGTAATCATAGTGTTTTTGAATCATAATATAGTAAAACAATATTGAATTCATTGTAAAACAATTAATTCTATGGTAACACAGCAATTATAAACAAACACTGTATGTTTCAGGGTTTATTATACAACAATACACTACAGTTTACTGTAGTAACAACAAAAGTTTACTTCAGCATTTGCACAGTAAAAATTCCAACTGACAAATTGTTAACTCAGTTTAAAATTCTAATTTAGGTATATTTTAGGTATAGGTATATTTAGGACATATTTTTGAGCTCAGTGTTGAGTTTACTCATGAAAACTTTTCAACATGTTTAGAACTGTTTGATCAATGAAAATAATGAAATCTCTTGAGATGTAAAATAAAAAAATAAAAAAAACTTCCTGCACCTTTAAACATTAAAAGTTGAGTTAACTTAAAATTTTAAAGCATTTTGAAGCTTCAGTGGTAAAAGTGGTGCCAAATAATTTTTAAAAATTGAGTTGAATTGACTTATTCCATTGACTTAACCCAGCATTTCCATTCATTTCATCCATTCATTCATTTTCTTTTATTATTCTGGAGTCGCCACAGTGGAAAGAACCGCCAACTTATCTTTGTACTGTGGGGTAAACCGGAGCACTCGGAGGAAACCCACGTGAACACGGGAAGAACATGCAAACTTCACACAGAATTGCCAATTGACTAAGCCAAGCTTGAACCAGCGACCTTCTTGATGTGAGGCGACAGTGCTACCCACAGTGCCACCGTGCTGACCCATACCAGCATTTTCAATCAACTTAAAAAAATGATTTGGCACTTCAACCATGGAGTTGAATAAACTCTCAATTTCTTTGCAGCTGGTTGCTTTCAAATTTCAAGTTAACTCAGCTTTTTGTTTTTTAGCGTGATATTACAGATTACCATTTTATAATAGGTAATACTTCATTAGTGTTCATTAACAAAGGTTGTCAATACTGTACAGTGTAATACACTTTACTATAGTATTTATTAATGTGAGAACATTGACTTTAATGCAACTGTTATCATTATTTGTTTTCCCTGTGAATCAAACCCATGCATGCACTCCTGTTTCAGCTAGAGGAAGACTTATTAATCATTTCATCTTCACAGCGCTGTGAAAGTCTGTCCTAATGCTGACGTTTGTGGTCAGTTTGAGTTTTATTACCGTGTTGTGACCTATCTGTACTAATTGCCTCTCTAATATCAGGAATGTGGAACCGTCGTCAACGACGGGTTAAAGCTGAACAAACAAACTGTGCTGATCTTAAGTGACTTATCTTATTTTACTAACATTTTCTCTGTTAATTAGCTGAATGGCTGTTTTGGCGGTGGCCCTCTTGAGAAAATAGCCAAGGCTTCATGACGTGTTTACACTGCTGAACATCCCTTGTGATGCCGTCACACGCAACACATTGGATTTGATTCCTTAGATTAGTTGAGAATGATTGAAAAATTGTAGATCCCATGAGCCCAGCAAGGCTTTATCTGAGGGAAAGTATCTCTGCCGTGCACTATTTAAGGAGATAAGAGAGGGCATAATGGAGCTCGGAGCTTGGGTGGTCTGTGTTGTGTGGTGTTATGGTGCGGCGCTTTCCCAGAACAAGTGGAAGTAATGCCATATGCATTGTGAAAATGGTTCATAATCGAAATGTGACCTCACAGGGTGGCTTTGATGTTGTGTAATTGAAATACAATTAGTTAAATTGAGTGTTGCACAAGAGCATAAAGTCCAAGGGAAACTGTGGAATTTCAGATGATGTACAGACCTGCTGTGTGAAATATTTGATCACTTTCAAGTCATAAATGGAAAATAATTCCAACAGCTCTTACTTATATTTACACATTTTACAACATTGTGTTTTTTTCTACATTAGGGTGTTTTGCTTAATTTTCAGTTTTTCCATGTAAAAAAGTAACATGGTGTACATTTTTATTAGGATTTACAGTAGACAGACACCCACTAAACCTATATATATATATATATATAAAAAAAACAGGCAGCTGTCTCTCCAGAATCCTCAATTTAACACAAAATTTGTAGCAAAATTTAGAGGAGCTTAAAATCTTTTATACTGTTTAGTGATACTGACTTCCCACAAATATTGGCCACAGTGTAAAAAATATCCATAAGCTAACAGTTTTCTGTATTTTGTGATTTCTGTTAAATTCCATGATGTGATCTCGATCTTTTTTCTAACAGTTATTGACTTTAAAAAGTTACTCTCAATGACATGACTTAGTCTGAAGTGAAACTGTATATTGTCTGGGTTGGTGGTGTACATCATGATACAAAAACTTTGTAATAAACTGCATGAACATTTTCTGTCTGTTGTGGACTTAATTCCCTCTATATTATTTCTTATATAATATAATATTTAAAACTACACAAATGTCAAAAAAGTCAAATAAAAGTTTCAACATCAATAATTGACCAGGCGGAGATCAATGCTGCAATTTGTACACAATCAATAAAAGTAAATAAACAAAAACAAAACATGAATTATAAAATACGGAAACTATTTTTTTGCAACCAGTGTGTGTGTGTGTTTCTTTACCAGATTCAACTTAATAGGCTCTTTCAGGTCCAGTATTGATGCCACCTTTCCAGGACTCTAGCAGATGTTTCAGGTCTAAATGGAGTCTAAAATATTGGGATTCGCAGAAGGAGGGAAGTGCAAAGCAAAGAGCAGAACATTATTTAAGTAACAGTTCACCCACAATACAAAACTTATCACCTTCATGTCATTTGTTATTCTCTAATGCTCAAATACCCTCTCAGCTTACTGTTAAACAAATACAGAATTTTATTAAACTTATATTAATCTCTTCCGTGACATACATTTATTATTATCACCAGAAATGACCATGAAGGTATGCTTGGTCATTTCAACAACTCTGGAAATACACAATCTCAATCAGTCTCTACTCAGCCATCATCACAGTCAGGGTCTTGTATTATTGTATGGAGAACTGTGGCTGTTAAAAAACAACACATTAGTATCTAACCCATATGCATCACCTTCAGATCTATTAAAATCTATTCATATATATATATATATATATATATCGCTCTATCTATGTCAGTCATCTTGTTTACATCATTATTGTGGTTTTAAACAATACTTCAAGTTGATAAAAATTAAATGTGTGAAAATGTGCTTCCAAACACGACGGTTTAGCTGTCTTTCAATCAACAGTCAGCAGATATTTTCTTGCAAACGCCAACAGCCAGGAGTTCAGCAGTATGTTACCTGTCAGCTGTCATTTGTATGCATTTACATTAAATAAACCAGAAACAGCAAGTTTCTTAAAAACGAATTACAATTTTACAATTGAGTGTATTGTGTCTGACATTGCATCTCTGAGACATGCAGTGTTACCTCCCATATCCAAGTCTGCATCCAGACACTTGCAATTATTGGGTCATGTTTCTGTCATGTGATTGGTCGTGTGGGCGGTGCCGCTGCACCCAAACCGGAACTATTTTTCAGAGAAAAGAAGCGGTGCATTTACTTTTCATTGCTTTAAGTAAAGTAAGTAATGGCGTTGTTTTTCTACTCCACTAGTAAAGAAGCGTTGTTGTTATTATGAGGTAAAATGCTTGTCTGAATTAATTCGTCGTCGTCGCCTCGCCATTATTGTCAGATTGTTTTTTAGCATTAGCCAGTGTGCTATATGTCAGAGCCCCTGTTTATCTTAATGGTTAGTTTGATAAATTCGCTATAATCATCACCATCGCGCTATGTGCACAGCAAATACGCCATGCATTTACTGTTATTTTGAAACAGCTCATTTTTCATTTAACGAATAAACTGCCTCTGTTAAGGCTCTCCGTCATTGCAATGTTTAACGTTACATACAGCTAACGTTATATCAGTATCAATTTTCATGCATAATGATTTTAACAAGGTAGGAATGCATATGTATCTTCAATTCGATTTGACTGAAGCCTGATAACTTGATTTTATTATTGTGTAATCAGTATCATTTGTTTCATTTAGTGACAGATGTAACATCTTGTTTTGTTTTGGGGTCTGAAAACAAAATGAGCATTCAGACATGATCTGTTTTTGCTTTCCTTCCGTCTCATCTTCAGTTTTCTTTTAAATGAGTATCAGTGTTAAATAATAGCAGCAACTTAAAATGCAACCCAGAACTCCGGCTTCATTGCTTTTTATTTCTTTTGATGCTCGATATAACTGCAGCTGAAATCATAATGTAAATTAAAATCAGATCATGGTTAACTCTCAGTGATGGTACTAATGAATTGTTCGTTTTTCGTTTGTTTACTATTGAAAGCATATTTTCTGTTTTGTGTTTTTGGCTTTGACTTTGTTCTCTGACACTGCAGATTGAGGTAAAGTTGGTTTTATATTCGCACATTCATTCAATTACAGATTGTGACATGCTCCCTACATGGTTTACCATGGTTCTTTGAATACTCAGACTAGGGCTGCTCGATATTGGAAAAATTTCACATTGCGATATTTTGTTTTGCTGCAATAATATTTGACTAGATATTTTTCAAGACACTTCTATACAGCTTAAAGGGACATTTAAAGGCGTAACTAGGTTAATTAGGTTAACTAGGCAAGTTATTGTATAATGATGGTTTGTTCTGTAGACTGTCAAGAAAAAAAAATTGTTTAAAGGGGCTAATAATTTTGACCTTAAAATGTTTTATACCAAAATTAAAAACTGCTTTTATTCTGGCCAAAATAAAGCAAATAAGACTTTTTCCACAAGACAAAATATTATCAGACATACTGTGAAAACTTCCTTGCTCTGTTAAACATCATTTGGGAAATATTTAAAAAAGGCAAAAACATTCAAATGAGGGCTAATAATTTTGTCTTTAATTGTATATTGAGATATGAATATAATGATGATTCTTTTAGCTCTATTTGTAAAGATTTCATTCTTTTAGATTGATGTGTGATGAAGTCTTTTTTATATGCATGCAGTGCATTTGCTTAAATGATTATAAATTGCCAGCAAAAATGGTTTTCTGGGGAGTCTAACAGTATTCAAGTAGAGAAATTGATCCATCAAATGTAAAATAACATGGTCATCATTGTATAAATAATAATAATAATTAAAATATATATTTAATTTTTTACTCTATAGCAATGATCTAATCCTGCGAAGTGACTTGCGGATACACACATTGCATCCATTGATATATTGTTCAGCCCTAATTTAGAATAAAATGACATGTAGCTGTGACTTAAGAACAACATTAGCACTATTTAATTGTCTGTGAAAAATGTTGTACTTTGATAGTTGTTGGCTGCTAATAGAGTTTCACTATTTGAATGTTGCAAACAATACTTTTCTGAAATTATATTATGGAGAAATGTGTGTGAATGTGTCAGTAGGCTGTAGAACTATGTGTTGCATACACAAGCGGATAATAAACAAAAACAACTATAGAACTGCACAATCTAACGTTTCAGCATCAATATTGGAATGTGTGCATTTGCAATAGCCACATTGCAACCGGAGTTGGGATTATTATTGTTGATCAGCAATGAGGAATGTACAGTGCTTACATTATACTATGCATTTAATTATTCAACAGGGGCAGGACAAAATAGTGATATGCATGAGGTGATGCTTCTCGTTATATAGTCTCATATATCAATGGTGCAATTCTAAGAACTATATGTGCTGTTAATAAAAAAAAATGCATCCTAAATCTTTTTGATGTGTTATCCACTCTTCATTTACAAATATCATGATATATTGTGGATGTTTTTCTGGTGATATATTGCTCATATCGTGATCTATCATAACCACGGGCAAAATATCATGATAATATTGTATTGTATTACTGTACCTGTATATCCGACTACTTATTTCACATTTATGTTAATTATTTATTCTTGCAATTTTTTTAATTCACTATTCTACAAGAATATTCCAGTCAATCTAATTTAATGATTTAATTCCAAACAGAGCTATTAAAGTCATCTGCCAAAATTGTATTAAAGCAAAATAAAATATTGCTGTGTCAGATTTTTTTTTTTGTTTGTTTGTTTTAAATATTTTGCAGCCCCACTGTCTTAAAAAGCACCAGCCACAATTATTTATTAAAAATTTTTTTTTGTAATTGTCAAAATGCAGTCAGTCAGTATGGTGCTCTGAAGCTGAATGTTTTGTTTAGGCTTCTGCCATTATATCTGGTGGATGTGAAGTGTTGAATTGTCCTGCCGAGTGAGTGTGTGCTGTAGGTCGGGGGTCACTGTGTTTATGGAGGGGGCTGAGTGTTGATAGGAGGGTCGCTGGTAATTTGTCTGAGACAAGCTCTTTATTCCATAGAGACTCTCAGGTGTCAGTCGTTTAAGCAGTCAATCACTCCCAAATGCTTAATGCCACACAGTAAGAGTGTGTGTCTTTGACTTTGACTATTTTCACTTCCAAAACATACTATTTTGTTGTAACTGAACAGTAGGATCCCCTTTTTTCTCTCTGTTTTAATTTTTTTAAAGATACATTGATGGTTCTGAGCTGACATTTGTAATAAACAATAAATAATTTCATAGAAAACATTTTCATGTGATTTTGATAAATATTACTGAAATGTATGGTCTTTAGTTTGTGCTGGAAAAAAAATGCTGTAGAAAAGCTTTTTGTTAATGTGGGACCAGATGACCCAGTTAAAGTTATTTACATATTCTGGTTATTTGCTTATTCTAGTCATTTAAACATTTATTATAAAAGTAAAATTAAGTATTTTTATAGTTTTGCCATTGCAACATTTTGTCAGCCCCTAAAAATTAATTCATTAAATTTTGTTACTTGGACTTAAAGTCTTAAATCTATACAATAAATCCAGCAGAACCTCTGTTTAAACAAAAGAACAATGTTATAAATTTTTAATAAATATATTGCAGTTCTTTATACGCAGCTCCTCTGTCGTATAATTAAAAAAAAAGTCTCCATAGGCTGCAGGTTGCATACAATGATTGTAAGAGGATAGGTGTAGTGCAAGTGAATTATTTTGTAAGGTAAGAGTTCGATCGATGCGCTTTGATGAGAAATTTGATCTATACATTTATCTGTCAATTGAAGAATTTTCAGAATATCATTTTAATGTGTTGATAAATCCAAGGCTTACTGAAGTCAATATCAGTCACCTTTGATGAAATATTGGCATAACTGTCTTTTTAATGTATACTCTGTTGTTTGTATTGTTTAGTTTGTCTTTAGTACTATTAAACATAGTGTCTAGAATAAAGAATATTATTATAGGTAAAATAGAAAAACAAAGCAGTTCTGTATGTGCATTGTGTAATATGCTGTTATAATGTGTAATTATATAGTTACATATGTAATATACATCTGTTTGTACAGTTGAAGTCAGAAATATTAGCCCTCTTTGAATTTTTTTTCTTTTTTAAATATTTCCCAAATGATTTTTAACAGAGCAAGGAAATTTTCACAGTATGTCTGATAATATTTTTTTTTTTGCAGAAAGTTATTTGAAAGCCATTTTAAGGTAAAAATTATTAGCCCCTTTAAGCTATATATATTTTTCAATAGTCTACAATTATCGTTATACAATAACTTGCCTAATTACCCTATCTTGCCTAGTTAACCTAAGTAAGCTTGTTAAGCCTTTAAATGTCACTTTAAGCTGTACAGAAGTGTTTTGAAAAATATCTAATATCTAATATCTAAAATATCTAATAAAACTATTATGTTTTGAAATGTGTTGTAAACATCTTTGTAAACACATTTCTTTCTCTTTTTTTAAAGGAAGCTACTTTATAGGTTATTTCTTTGTTCATTTAAAAAAATTTCATTGTTGTCTTATTGATCTTATTCTGTAATGTGGAAGTGCGCTCATTTTTGTGGTTATCTTTAGAACTTTCAATTCAGTTGCCTATGGGAGAAATTAATAGGAACCATTTATAGCAGAAAACTGTCAAACTACTTGTTCTACAAACAAAGATGTTCATGCCTATACATAAAAAGTAGAATAATATAATAAGAAAATATCAGTTTGCAACATCAAGAAGCTTAAACTGCTATTTTAGAAAAAATCAATATGGAAGCGAATGAGACTGTCTCAAGCTAAAAAGATTCCAATGGCTGCGTCCGCTCGTACATGAAGAATAAGGGCAATAATACTTTCTATTTTTTATTAAAATAATGCCCTCTTCTCTTCCACCCAAAATATCAAAATGTATTTTAAATCCAATTTAAAAATATTCACATAACATTTGAACTATAGACATGGGACTTTCAAGGTATACTGCGGTTTGGAAAAGTCCATTCCTATGGTATACATGTATGTAAGATTTTTTTTGTTTGTTTTAGTTTTTTAGGACAACAGTATCTCCAGCAGAAAACAAAATACCCAAAGATGCCATTTTCAAATTGTGAAGAAATCTGTGTTTTTGAACTAATGAAGAGAGCAGAAGTCAATGATTCATTTAAATTTTTTAGCCTGACATGTTTACTGCTCCTAAAAATGTTAAATGTTTCTCAGCATATGATATTTTGTGTTCAAAGGGGGAAAGAGTTTTAGTTTTTTTTTTACCCATACATTTAAAAAATATATATTTTAGAGCAGTAATCAGAAAACCATGAAACCATGATATTTTTATCCAAGGTTATCACACCATCAGAGTCTTACACCTCTCATTCAAACTTTAAATTTGATGTAAATTTTAAATAAAATAATAAAATATGTGCAAAAAAAAAAACTAAATAAAACCAATAACATCAACTAATATCTAAATTTGTCAAAGTGCTCACATCGCTGCAGTGAATATATGTCTGAGTACACTGATAGACTGAGTTTGCATTATTAGTTGTGGCGGGACGTCTTCTCAATCCGTACTGTGGACTCTGTGGTCTGCTGTAGAAGTCAACCATCACCATGTCCCCCTTTATCTCTCTCTCTGGCCCATACCAGAGACCACACATACACAGAAACACACCCTCTAGGACCACACAGAGACAGCCACGGGGTCATGCACGCAAACCGCCCTAGAGCTGTCAGTCTTGAGCTCCGTCTGAGTGTTTGTAAATGAGAGAATGTTTGTGACTGAGAAAAAGCCGAGTTCTGAGCTACCGTAGTAATATTGTATGTTAAAGCTGCACGCTTCTGGATAAACTGGGAAAAAAAATTTTATTATACAAATACAAATTATTTTTGTTTGTTTGATATAGTAAGATCATCAGTCTCCCATGATTTCAAATAAATTGTAAATAAAATCTTACCGCTTTAAAATTGTTTTGTTGAAATTTTTCTAGTCTTCTCAAACTAATCAGACTGACTAAATATTTTAAGTTAAGCTTATTGTCCTGTTTTAAGTTGAAGTAACAAAACATTTGTTGTCATAACTTTGTCATATAATTTTTTTTAAGTGTAGACAACTTTAGGACAAAAAGAAATTGTGTTGATTTTTATTTGCTGCAGTCTGTTTTTATAAAACATATTATTTTATTAGTTCATTTAATTTTTTAAACACTCAGTTCAGTTCACTCACTCACACTATTTCATAAAGAGTGAAAAAGCTTTTGTCAGAATCTCTATTCAGTGACAAGTACATGTTTATTAGTCGCTTGTTATTTATTGGTGGAACAGTGTAAATGCTACACTATCAGGAATAAAGGTACAAGTTCTATTACTGGGATGGTGCCTTTTGAAAAGAGACCACTGTAGTTACTGCACTTGTGTCTTTATTTCTGAGAGTGTAGCAACATTCTTTTAAACTTGCGTTTAAATGGTGGTTGATCGCTATTGTAGATGTCAGTGCTTGTATCCAACAATAAACTATTTTTATCCCAGTACTTGGAGCTAAATACAAAATAAATAGTAAACTAATGCTAACTAACAATACTGATTGAAAAGACCAAAGACTGAAGCTGTTTCAACCATACATTATGACTGCTTTTTCTGGGTAACTCATCTTAAACAAAACACTGTCTCATTTAGGTGTGTGAAGGATGTCTCGGGCCCGCCAGCCTCCCTTGGTGACAGGCATCTCACCTAATGAGGGTGCGCCTTGGACCAAAGTTACCATTCGAGGGGAGAACCTGGGCACCGGACCCAATGATCTGATTGGTAATATACATTCACAGCATAATATACATGCACAATTGCAAGTAACAGATACACAAACCCTTGAAAAAAATTAACATTGAACATTTTTGTGCCGGTAAGATTTATTTAAATAAAGAAATTACTACTTTTATTCAGGAAAGACTAATAAAATTGATGACAAATGGCAGACAATACTTAGATAAATACTTTAAGATAAAAAAAATACATATTTCTGATAAATGCTTTTTGTTTGAACTTAAAAAAATCTTGAAAAAAATCAAAGCCTTTTTCAACCTAAATTTTAAAATTGTATTGTAAGCACCAAACTGTTTTACATGTAACAATGAAGACTGGCATAACGGTGCTGAAAATTTTGTTTTGCACATGAAAGAATTTAAATTAAACAGAAAATTACTTTTATGTAATTATAATTTTTTATATTATATTATTTTATTTTATTTTATTTTATTTTATAATTAAGCTGCAATAAACTATAACCATGCAATTTGGTGACAATTACTTGACCTAAACATCAACACACATGAAGTTGCATGGCCATATTTTATTGTTTAATACTTATATAATTAATACAATATGATATAATTATAATAATTTAATTCCAATCTATACATAAATAAATGTAATTCTGTGTCTTTAGTTTGTAAGAAATGTCTTTGTGTGTTAGCTTGCTTATTTTACTTAATTACGTCCATTTAAGTACACATCATTGTAAGTGCTGTAGTTCAAACCACTCACTTTCCACTGCTGTTTGTGTGAATGTTTTCAAACTATAGACTTGGAGAAACACAGACTCCTCAAAACTTGTTATTAATGACGTAATTTGTTTTGCTAACAATTATTTTGGGAAACACACCCCAGAGCTACGAAAAGAAATCTGATTAAATGGCTTGATTGGCTCTTGACGGTCAGATGGCATCAGATCAGCAAATTAAGTGGGATTATATATTGGACATGAGATGAGCCAGAATTGTCTGTTTAATTGACTTCATCTGGTCTTCGTTGCTCTCCCACACCGCAGGTCTGTCCATCTGTGGTCATAACTGTTTGCTGACAGCAGAATGGATGTCTGCAAGTAAGATAGTGTGTCGAGTGGGTCCTGCTAAAGATGACAAAGGCGAGATCATCGTCACCACCAAAAGCGGAGGCAGAGGGACGTCCACCGTATCCTTCAAACTGCTCAAACCAGAGAGAATCGGTGAGCACAAACACTCAGTGCCCTCAAACACACACATACACACACTGTATTTACACTGTTATTCTTAAACTGTTCGTTCCTAATGATAGGTTGTAATTAGGCATGGGCTTAAGATTCTGAAGGTATGAGATCCTTTGATAAAGATATTACTGCAGACTACTGCTCTAAAATATGTTCTTTTTAAATGCCTGGGTAAAAAAAAAAAAAACTTTTATTAGATATAAAGGAAACCGCTGCACTGTTCAGGTCCATGCTTGTATGCTAGTGCATAAGGGATTTAAACTTTCAAATATTAGCTAAAACATGAGCTGAGCAGTAGCTTTTGATATGGATGCTTGATTGCTGCTGGGCTCTAGATACTGTTGTCCTAAATAAATAAGATAGTCTTTGACATTTCACAAAAAAATAAACTTATACATATACAACAGGAGAGGTATAACATAAAATTTTAGTTTTTTTAAAAACCTTGACTTTTTCAAAGCGGTTATCACCCCATGCCTAACTGTCAAGGTTATTATAATTTAGTTTTTTTTTTGTTTTGTTTTTGTTTTTTTGGAAATTAGATTTTTATTTTTATTTTTCTTGAAATAACATGCAAAACCATACAATTATATAAAATGTATACAGGTTCTTCATAATTTACACATTTGTTTATCAATTTAGAAAATAAATAAATAATTCAACAACCAGTAACAAAGTATAAAAAATACTAAAAATAATAGTACAGAGCATAACAGGAAAGGTACATTCACATTTCAAGTGAGGAAATGAATATTTCCCACATATCTTTTTCCTTGGAATTATCATTCATTTTGGCCAACATTTTCTCATATGATACATTCTCAATCATGGATTTCATCCATAATTTAAGTGTAGGGCATTGAATATCCTTCCAAAACCTCAGTGTTATATGCGCTGCTGTAGTAATGCCCAAAATTACAAGGGTGAACTCATCAGTTGTAACATTTGAAACCTCATTTTTGTCACCTAAAAGGCATATCCTGGGTGAGAGAGGGATATTAAATCCCAAACATCTACCTAATTGTCTTAACACAGATTCCCAAAAGGGTTGAATCTTTGTACAATCTTTGTTGATTTGGATAAATTTGCTGTATATTTCAGTTTAGTTTTAATTCATTTTATTAATGATTTGTTGTGTTTAGTTTAGTTTTATGTTTAGAACATATTTTTATATATTTAGTTTAAGGAGTTATCAGAACACATCCACTGTTGACCCAAGCAAAGTTTAGTATTTGCGCAGCTCACATTAACTCATGTGCAAACCTCATAGTAATAAAAATAAAATGATTGTCTGAACAAACCAAAATCATACAAATGCATCAAATAAACGTAAAAATAGGAAGAATTCAGATGAATGTCATATTAAAGTTCAAACTGTATAGTTTATCATGCCTAGTTTACTTTTTTGGCAAATGAAGAAAAGATAGAACACGTTTTGCATTTGTTGAAAATATGTTTTTGTGTATAATCTTGGTCTTGAGTGATATGTTTGGCTGTAAAAGCGCCATCTACAGGTACTTTTATTTTATTTACAGGTTTTTTTTACTTTTATATTACAGTCACAAGTCAGTCACAGAACCAGTGCTTATAAATTCTGAAAATGCTTGTTTCATTTAGCTTATTATTATTATTTTATTTTAGTTAGTTCTTCAGTGACTGCTGTTAGTCTCGTTTAGTTTTAGTTTTTCATCTATTGTAATTTTATTTTAGTTAATAAAAATGTTTTTTTTTTGACGAATAGTTTTATTCTTAGTTTTAGTTTTGATTCATTAAAATAACCTCGGCAACAGTACAATTATTGTCTTTTTTTGTAATGCATGTTTAATAAACCAAATGTTATTTGATTGGTAAATAAATTGACAGGAAATTCAAAAATAAATCATTTTAAATTTGAATATATTAATAGCACGGGAATGCGATCTGTCAAGACGTCACTCATGCAGAGGTTAAATTATACTATTTCTCTAATGAATTATGACTAGTTAAATAATTACATAATCAAATTCTAGTGTGCAAAACTGCCTTGTGTTTCATTTACAGTTTTTGCATTTTGTACCATTTATTTTTTGGTTGCACTACGAGATTTTATTAGTTTGTTAGTTAATCTATATAATAATAAACAATATTTGTACATCGTTTATTAATAATGTAGTTCAACATTTACTACAGCAATATTAATGCTTGATGCACTAACAGTAATGTTAACTTTATTTCCATTAACTAATGTTAACAAAGATCAATAAATACATTAAAAAAAGGAATTGTTCATTGTTCTTGTTAGCAAATGCATCAACTATCATTAACGAATGTAACCCTATTGTAGTGTGCTGTTCGTATTTTCTTATCTGCTGTTTCGAAAATGAACTGAACCATGACTTTACACCAACATGCATGTCAAACCGTAATTCTTGGTTGGTGTTGCACTACTTGATACACGCTTAACAATATATATATATTTTTTTTACTATCAGCACAATATTGTTCATGTAAACATGCTCAATTTTCCTCATAGGCTAAATAATTCAGTTTGATTGATCGCACACCCTCTTTTAAATCCACACACACTGTCTTTGAAGATGGCAGAAGATTTAAAGTGGCCGACGCATGAGAACGCTCATGTTTCTGTGTGTTTAGGCATTCTGGATCAGTCTGCGGTCTGGGTTGATGAGTTGAATTACTATGACATGAGGACCGATCGGAACAAAGGAATCTCTCCTCTCTCTTTGAGGCCGGCAAACCCTTTGGGCATTGACATAGACAGGTACAGAAACGTTTACAAGCAAATTTGTGTTGTCCTCTTATGAACTTACAAAGTATTACATAGTATACAACTATGCCCACACAACACTGTACTCACACACGCACACACACACACACACACACACACACACACACACACACACACACACACATGTGCTTCATTTCTGACTCTCTGATTAAAACACACTCTCACAAAAACCAAAACAAATGCATTTCCACACACACTTCACCCCAAAAGCACTGCTCTATGTTTATAGAAGTGGACTGCTGTGTTTATAAGGAAGGAGGTTCAGCAGAAAGTAGAAACAGCCCATTGTGTGTATGTCTTCTACCTGGGTGATGTCATTGGTTCAACATTTCCTTTGATAGGAAGTAAAACTCTTCCTTTCCCTGATCTTTACAGCACCGCTGACCTTTTACTTAGTTATATCTACATATTCAGACCAAAAGTCTGGAGTCTGTTTAATAAAAAAAAAAAAAATGCTCATTTATGCTTATCAAGGCTTCATATATTTGAGCTAAACTACTGCAAAAACAAAAATGTATGTAAAACAGTTATTTATTTTGGTTATTATCAATTGCAAAAATGCTTTTCTTACTTAGATTTATTGTCTTATTTCTTGCCCAAATATTAAATAATTCGTAAATCAAGAAGCATTTACTAGACAAGCAACAATATTGTCTTCATTCACAAGTTCAGGTTGCTTTATTGGCATGACATTTTGTACAGATATGTATAAAATAGGCTATGTAATATAATAACATCATCAAATACATAGAATATACAGCAAATGAGAAATAAATGACAGAAAAAGGGAATAAAAACAGACAATATCTCTAAAAATGTAATAATTATAAGTGTAGATTATTTAAATAAGGCACATTAGTTGATTAACCATTTTTAATGGTGTACAAATATAAATATTTAGCAGCCAGTTTAGATGTCATTTCGTCCCCTTTGAGTATATAGTAAAGTTTTTCTGAGTCGTTTGTTAAAGAATTAATTATTTAATATTTCTCTCACTCTCATAACTTTGTGTGCTGAATCAGCTGCAAAGCTAAGCAAAAGTAGCTTTAATAAAAAGGTAATGTAAAAGTGCAAACAATTTATGACAACTATTGAAAGTGAAAGCCAAATATCGAACATTAGGAGATCTTGAAACCCCAGCCAGATGCATGTTTTAAGTGCCAAAAAGACGCATCTCTGTGGGTCTGCAGAGCATGTGACTCTGTGTGGGAGGGTTGACAGTTCTTGTGCACATGGATCCAGTAGTAGCCTACGAAAAGGGTAAACAAGAGACACTTTTCCACTGGTTAATCGATCTCAGATATTTGGTTATCTTGGGTGGATATAAAAAAAGTGCAAAAGGATGATGATAATAATAGCTAAAAAAAAAGTGTTGGCAAATATATTTGTGCGGCCATTTATATACCTTATCGCCTGCCCAAGTAAAGTCTAAATGGAAAGCACTGCTCTTGTTCTAATATGAGAACAAATAAGTTTTTCCCTTAAAACGAGCAAAATAATCTGCCAAACACTGCACTGCAAAAAAAATTCTTACTTGGATAATATCTAAAATATATCTAAATATCTAAAAATTCTTAAATCAAGAAGAATTTTCAAGACAAGCAAAACATATTGTCTTGTTTTCAGAAATAATATGCCAAAATTAAGTGAGTTTTTCCTTACAACAAGCAAAATAATCTGCCAATGGGGTAAGCAAAATGATCTTGTTTTTTGTTTGACGCAAGATTATTTTGCTTATCCCATTGCCTCAATAATAAAAAAGCAACATGTTTTTTAAATTTTGTTTTCAGGCAGTCTAGCAGTATTTAGGCATGAAAATGGAGTATTCAAATGTAAAATAACAGTAGTTTTTGTTGGGTGTATATATATTTAAATAAAATGAATCTTTCTTAAAGTTAAAAGCATTATTCTTTCTTGTGCGTAAATGCTTTAACGAAGACTCACCATGTTCCGTACTCTTTCTGCTTAACAATTAGTGTTAAAAAAATTACATAATATTCATTTTAAAAAGCTGTAATGCTGTGTTATGCACAAATTAATTCAAATGCATATTTCTTTGCTCTTAAAATCCCCCATCCTAAGTGACACTCGCACCTTAAGCTTACCCACTGTTCATGTTCAAGCATATTGGGTGGACGTAGCAAACTTACTGATTTTTACCAAAACATTTGGTAGAAGAGTCTCGGTTGTGATCGGGGATGAAAGAGTGAGATACAAATATTACACAGATACATAGCTTGTCTACAACCTGTAAGTATTTATTCAAAGATTGGTGTTAAAAGGTAATATGTACGGAACATCTTTGTGTACAGAGCATGGTTTGTCTACGTTAAACTCTTACACAATCACACACTCTAAAAAACCCGATCAACTGAATGCTCCTGGTTAACTATAATCTTGATTCAACGTTGTAGACTTCGCAATGTGACGATTGCAGATTGCAATATATTGTGCAGCCCTAGTATTTTCTCACCAAACAAACTTTGTTAATCAATTGCAACTTTGAAAAAATAATCAAACTCTCTGTGAGTAATATGAATTCTGTCTGTATATTCTGTGCCACATCATAAGACACAGTGACTTATGTAATGCTTTTTGTATATGAAACGGCTGTCTGCTTTTGCCTTGTGGTCAACATAGCATTGTGGAGCAGATGCTCTGTTATTTCTGTGTGTGTACTGTATGTGTGTGTCTTCTGTTCATCAGAGGGAAGGTTCCTTTGAAGGATCTGGAGAACATGTTTCCTGGAATGAGCGGCGATTTCACCAGTGAGAATTTCTCTGCCACCTGGTACCTGATCGAGAACCATTCATCAACCAGGTCAGCCTGCATACCATCCATCCTTCTGTTAATCAGCCTAAATAGATATATGTGTGATGTTGTTGCTTGTGTTTGGTGCTGTTGTAGTTTCGAGCATCTACGTGCGGGAGTGGGGAACCTGAAGAAACAGGCCAGTAAGAAGAACGAGGGCAGTCTGGCGTATGTGAAAGGAGGTCTCAGCACTTTCTTTGAGGCTCAGGATGCTCTTGCAGGTATATTTTGATGGTGATTTGGGTAATCGATTAAAAAATGATATGAAACTGTATACATTTGCAAAAATGAAACTGCAGCATTTCTGAGGGAAACAGAGTAATTAGTGGGAATGTGTAGGGTTATTTAGGAGACATGGTTGTGCTTGGGAAGATTTTGTTGGAGTTTTTTTTATTTAAAATGCATTTATCTGGGAAATGGGATATTGCAATGATCATGGGAAGTCCAGGATTTCATTTGAGCCGTAAAGAGTAGAAAAAATAAATTTGAAGTGAGAAAAGTGATGTTTTATTTGTAAGTGGTCTTTGCAGCAGTGACTTCGAGGCTTTCCACTGTCAGTGTCAGTATTTGAAGGCATCAAGATTAGATTAGATTAGATTCATCTTTAGTGCCGTGACAGATGTACAAATACAAGGCAACGAAATGCAGTAAAAATAGTATCATCTGCAAATTTGTTCGTGGTACTTAATGACAAAGCAGCAACATTTTTTATGAAATGCAAGAGTGGACATGTATTTATATAATAAGATAAATAAATAAAAAATTACATTTCAGAATATGCTGGATTCAATAACTGATTGTTGTTCATAGTCTGCACATTTTATTATCTGTGAACTTTATTTATTTACTTATTTTTTTGTCATTTGTTTCTTTGTTAAAAAAAAGGTGTGAAATAGTCATTTCTACCCAATGAAATAATTTGGGTTTGATCTAAATAAAAAAAATAGATAGAATTTTAATTATCATGATTTAAGGATTTTTATAATTTCTATGACTTTTCCAGGAATCAAAGTCACATTGTATGTATTCAGTTTGTCCAGAAAATGTTAAATAAAATGACAGCAAATTAATGTAAGAATTGTCTTGGTTTTCACGTTTGTAGAAGATTACTCACTTAATCTTGTTTTTTAATTACTCAGAAAATCTTGTTTTTAATCCTATATTAAATGTAAAATTCTAATCTAAGACTTGTGTTTGCTTGTGACTTGGAAAGCTTTTTATTTTATTTATTATATTTTTAGTATTCTAAATAATTTTTGCCATTTAATCTGACGTTGCATTAAAAGATATGATATGAAATTATACAATACAAAACAATATGATATATATGATACGATACAATATGATACGATATGATATGATGCTATACTTGAAATCAGTTTTAGCCATCTTGTGGCCCCCTTGGAAGGTGGCTTTTTCTCTGTCCAGAGATAAATGTACAGTATGTAAATGTGTTGCAAATAGGCATGGGACGATAACCGTTTTATCGTTTTCGTTTTAACCGTTTCTCCAGCAGAAAAGATATCCAAAGATGCCATTTTAAATTGTAAAAAAATCTATGTTTTTGAAACAAATGAAGACAGCAAAAGTCATTGATTTATTTGAATTATTTAGCCAGACATGTTCACAGTTCCAAAATATTTTAAATGTTTCTGAAATTAAAATATATTGTGTATAAACGGGGAAAAGATTTAGGGCTCTATTTTGACGATCCATGCACAAAGTGCAGGGCGCAAACGCATTAAGGGGGTGTCAGAATCCACTTTTGCTAATATAAGGACGGAAAAATCCACTTTGCGCCGTGGCCCATGGTCTAAAAGGGTTGAGCTTATTTTCTGTGTTAAAGGTGTGTTATGAGAATAAACCAATCAGAGTTTCATCTCACATTCCCTTTAAGAGTCAGTTGCGTCGCGCCATAGCGCATTTGCTATTTACATGGCAGACTTTGTAAGTGGAAAAACCGAACCCTTCACTAGAGAGAAAACAGTTAAACAGAGCATCTACAGCGAGAGAATGAGAAATAAGCCTTCTCATTATTTACTTTTACTTTCGCTCTCGTGGATAGGGAAACCTAGTACGCACAGACATCAGTTAGCCTATGAATAATTAATTTTGTTTGTTAAGCGCAAAGAAGTGCGTTAAAAAACCTGAGTTATATCCTAATACATTGGCTTTGCCCCATATGGTCTGAAACATGAAAAGTTGACAAATCTAAGCTTGTTTTTAATATAAATATAAATAAAATATAAATATGCATATAATAAATAATACTGCTAATAATAATAACATTATACAAAAGATAAAATGAATAAACTGAAAAAGCTGGCATGAAGGTATGAAAGTATGATTTTTATATTCATGTAGGCTAGAAAATAACATGTTTTGTAATATTTTAATCCTTTATATTTATTATCCTATATGTATCCCTATTATATCCTATATATATATATATCCTTAATATTTTAATTATTTTTCATATGTAAAGATATTTGCGTATTGGTCTAGATCTTGTGTGTATTAAGCAGTGTATAAGCGAGGTGCACAACTAATGCGCCCTGCGCTGGACTTTAGACAAGCTTTGTTCTGGTCTATAGAACAGACTATTATAGTTTCTCAAAATAGCAACGTGCCAGCAATGCGCCTCAACAAGCCTCCCTTTTTAGATCCGAACGCCTATGGGCACACAAATGAAAAAAATTGCTATTTAAATAGCCTGGCGCAAAACGACTGAACTACTCTTGCGCCAAGCTGAAACTAGCAAACAACAATTGCGTTGCGCCACATTGCGCCGGGTGTATGATAGGGCCCTTAGTTTTTTACACAGACATTAAAATTGAATTTATTTTAGAGCAGTAATCACAATACTGTGATACCGTGATATTTATATCCAAGGTTATCATACCAGAATCTTACAGTATAGTTGCATGCCTAGTTGCAAAATGCATTGGGAAAAAAAGCTTACAGAGATTTTGATATTTAGTAAAAACAGAAATTCGATTACATTTGCATAGACTGATATTAGACTTTTTATATGCTGTTTTGGTGCAATTGATTATCCCTAAATCAAGACAAATTAAACTAATAAAAAGTCCCATTAAAATGTGTCCCAATAAACATCAAACAAAGTTTTTATCAAAATACTTCACCTTATTTATTGAGCAGTAGACAATACAAATACTAGATTTGACCAAATCAGATGCTTGGCCTTTTCATTCAATTGTTCCACTTCACTTGTCACTGTTCACAGGTGTTTGTGTGCTCGAACTACCCTGATCAGAGGTCAGTGTCACAGTGCACGCTCTATTTTAAAATTTGTCTGTGTACAGGACTGGTCTGGGGTCATTTGTCTTGAGACAAACAGAGCGGCTATTCTTAGCACTGTGTGTCTGTCTGATTGACAGGCGCTGGGACGGATAACAAGGCGTGGTTGTCATAATGTTTAGATGAGGTTGTAATAAGGTTGTCATTGTGCTGAGAGGAAACAAGAGAGCAGCAAACGGAAGCTGCTCTGATTCCCAGAGAAGACTCCCAAAACTTAGCCGCTAGAAGTCAAAACATACTTTTAGAGACAGAGGAAGCCAAGCACACAGGAGGTTAGCCATGACGTCGTTGTGTACTGAAGTCTCCACAATCCAGATGTGGACGGGGGAAATAGACTTTTAGGTTTTGTGTGTCAAGGTTTTACTTCCAATCAAAAGATGTGCTTTAATATATTTATGCTGTATGTATGTTACTGGTCGAAAGGAAGTGTTTTCCTCACCAAGGGTGCAATCATTTTATCAGAAATGCTATAAATACATTACAGTAAAATATTATTTAGATGTAAAATAACTTTTCAATTATCAAATTAAATTATAATTGGCATATTATCGGATTATTTTAGATTGTAAATAATACATTCCTGTGATTCAAGGATGAATTTACTTCCGTATTCAGTGAAACAATGCTTAGAAAAGCATTGGTATATGCTGATTTCCTTTTTATTGGTACTCAGACATTAATAATAATAATTCTTGTTTTAATGTTTGATTCCTATAATTCTTATAATTATAAAGAATTCTAATGATTTGTTTACTATTAAACAATAGTTATAATTAACGTTTAAAAGCACCTATTTAATTTATATTTATTTTTACTTTATAAGTGTCTTAAATGAGACCTTTTAATGGTATTTCTACAAAAATATGAAGCATTTTTTAACACTGATAATAATAAATTCTTCTTAAGTGTCAGATCATTCTATTAAGATCATCATTTTAAATGATTTCTAAAGAATCGCATGTCATTTAAATTACTGGAGTAATTATGCTGAAATACAGTTTAAAATGTAATTTATTCCTGTGATTTAATCTGCATTAAAAAACAAATCAAATATTTTAAATAGTAATAATATTTCACAGTTTTACAGCTTAAACGAGACCTTGCTGAGTTAAATACTTTTTATAAAGCATCAAAAATATCTTCCTGATCCCAAACGTTTGACTTTTGTTAGTGTAAAAGTGCTTAAGACTGACCACCAGTGATGAAATCTGATATTTAATAAAAATCAAATTAATTTTTCATAATGTAATATATTCATGCTTATCCTTTGGTGTCACACAAGCTTTAATAATCATTTAAGAGGTGTTACATCATAATTGTGGAACAACAACACTATTTATAGACATATCACCTTGGAATGAATATTTTTCTTGTTCCAATTAAGCATATAAGGCTGTGTTAAACATTTTGTCCAGTACAGATGTTCATTTTATGTAATGTACTATTTACTGAAATATATATATATATATATAAATTTTTTTTTTTTTTTTTTTTTTTTATGAATTATTGAGTTATATTTATTGAATTATTTGCCCTTCAGGACTTTAAAAGAAAAGAGTCAATGAGCAAATGAGTTGTTTAACATACACTGAAAATGTTTTACTGACTATATGTACACAAATACAAATATTTCATATATAATATATTACATTTTTTAAATAACAGTTTTTTTTCCACAATGTAAAAATTAATATTTTATCTCAATGTTAAATAATGCATCAACACATTTACACACCCATTCAGTTGCAGGTTTCATCTCAACTTTGTTTGCTAAAGCATTATTTAGTTGACTCTGATTTTGTGTTTCTTTCTGGTCTTTCCTGGGGTCCGTTATTCGTACGTGGATTACTCAGTTAGCTGGATTTGGATATTGACGATTTGACACGATCCAGGATCGTTTCGTTCTTCAAAGCTGATCCGAGAGTTGTTGTCATGGCAACAGTTCTGCTAGGTCAAACCTGATCGGGAGCAGGTTCAATTCATATAAACAGGATTAGATCGGCTCAGTTCAAGCAAAGATAATACAGAAAGTATGTACCGAGTTCTGATATTTTCTTACAGTAAAAGTTATATACACTTATACACTACAAAATAGTAGTTTTTAACTATATATTTAAAGTTATAGTCATTAATAAAATAAATAAAGTTTTACATATTAATAAAACGTATGCAATCATCCTCGAAATGAAAGTACAAAGACTGCCAGCTGGTGGTGCAAAGAGAAAACTTATTGATATGAACTTTTTAGATCGCTTTAGTACAAATTGTGTATAATAGAAATGCACAATATGTGACTTTTTTTAAAAGCAATAATACATTTATGCAGTCATAAACATGTTTTGACAGTTAATATGCCAGTGATTTGATGCTTCACAAAAGTTGCAGACGCCTTTACCAATATCAAAATGCTTTTGGAAACAACCAGTTATTCTTTACACCGATTAAAAAACTGTACTATAATAAAGAAAATCTTTTCTAAATGTAGAACTAAATACATTGATTTGCATTGAAATACATGATGAATACTCTTGTCTTGACAAATGAAAGTGTAAAGCCTGCAGCTCACAACAAATGTGGAAAGTTCTTGCGTGTCATATTTAACAAACCGTTTACTGCTAATTTGATGTAATTTTGCTCACATGGATAATTGAATATTAGTCAGATGATGTCGTCACGCTGCTGTGCCGTCAGCCAATCGTTGCATTGCTGATCATGATTTCGAGGATCGATAGATCTGTCCTTCATAACACACACAGCGATCTCAGATCAGTTCATCCTGACATTCTAATCTGATTCGCGAACTTGTTTGAAGAACCAAATTAGCGAGAGAACAGTTATCAAGATTAAATGATCCAGGATCTGCCAAATAATCTTAGATCATTTAAGCGAGGTACGAAGAACGGACCCCTGCTGTCAACCGGCGAAAAAACAAAGAAAGATGTTTCTGATTGGTCCTCGTTTGTGCATTTGAAATGCTGATTGGCTCACAGAAAAAACCTTTTAGAGCCAACCTACAGTTGGACTTTGTCGATAAAATCTTTGTTGTTTTTTAAATAAAAAGTTTTAAAATGTAAACAACTAATTAAAAAATCACATAATCTAAATAAGTTGTCATTTAATAAGACTTTGTGAATAACTCAATTTTTAAAAAATGTCGGATAGAACCTTATAATTCTATGGTGACGATATGTACACTTATTTATTTAACAACATACTTGGTTTACATTTCAATTTTCACATAATATAGATATACATACAACATTAAATATAGGACTATTTCTGTACATGCATTTGTCAATTTGTATGTTTTGTATTCCTAATTTACTTATTTTTTAATTCTGTCCCGTCACTGTCATTTTGTTACACTGTGGATACTTCTGCCCCAAAAACAAATTCCTCATATGTGCAAACCAAACATATCTGGCAATAAATCTCCTTCTCATTCAGATTCTTAAGGCATAAAGAGTGGAAAAGCAGGAATCATCATCATGATAGCCTAATGTGATTATTGAACTTCAAAAGGCTGGGATTGAATGTAATAAATGTGAGTACAACGTGTTCAAAGTCAAACCATTGCCATAACGTGCTGTGCCGGCTTGTGGTTTCAGAGTACTTCGCAATCAATGAATACCGCACATTTATGGCAAGTGGTTGCTTATGGTCTAATGTTGATGACTTACGACAGTGTTTACATTATGCTGTTTATATTGTAAAATGTTGTAGAAGGATGTAAGGGTGCATTATTCTCATCTGACAGCTGCGAGTAGTAAACTATAGACATTTCAAAATAAGAGCGTGTTTTTGGGTTTATGTTTAAAAGTCCACCACAAAAAGAGTTAAAAAGAGTTATCCACCACAATTTCTTTCTTTCATGTGTTCAATAGTATTTGTTTTTTAGTCTGTAATTTTTGTTACACAAAAAAACTTATTTAATTTGAACAAAATAACATGTAACTTTTGTAACTTATTTTGAGCTCAAGAATAATATTTGAAACATTCCCTCACATTCTTTGTGTAAAAAAAAAAAAAAAATGATGAAGCTGCCATGTTTCCATCGTTTCAAAGTAAATTTCTGTATAAAAAATACCAATAAAATTAAAGTCATTTTAACCCTCCTCTACAAAATAATTGATTACCTGGAAATGTAAGTGTATATTTAAAATGACATTTATTATTTTGGCTTTCATTACTATTTATGGAAGTCTTCCTTTATAAAAATACAAATTTGAGGTGGGGAAATTTCAGAAATTTGGTTGATTTGATTTAAAATGAACCAGTGAGTTGCAGTTTAACCAAATCTTGCATCAAATTAAATGCTCTGATATTTGCCTGTTAAACAACCACTGGATCTGCATTCCTGATCTTGAATTAGCTTTGGATGAAAATAAATAAATGTAAATAACATGATTTAGCTTTTGTATAAGGTTATTTTTATTTGCGGTGGATGTAAAGGGATTTTAAAATGAAAATTTGCTCACAATCAACTTGCCCTTCCAAACATTTATGAGTTTCTTTCTTTTTTTGCACACAAAAGAAGATATTTTTAAAGAAAACTGAAAAACCATTGACTTCTATAGTAGGAAATACTATTACAATGTATGTCAGTGGTTACAGGTTTCCAGCTATCTTCAAAACTAGTCTTTAACAAAAGAAAGAAAAAAGGATTAAAACAAATAAAGAATTTTCATTGTTAAATGAACTATCCGCCTTAAGAAAGTTCTTAAAAACTAGAGTCAGATACTTTATATACAGTTGAAGTCAGAATTATTAGCCCCCTATTGAATTTTTTTTTCTTTTTTTTTAACATTTCTTAAATGATGTTTAACAGAGCAAGGACATTTTCACAGTATGTCCGATAATATTTTTTCTTGTGGAGAAAGTCTCATTTGTTTTATTTTGGCTAGAATAAAAGCAGTTCTTAATTTTTTAAAAAACATTTTAAGGTCAATATTATTAGCCACTTTAAGCTATTTTTTTTCGATGGTCTACAGAACAAACCATCGTTATACGATGACTTGCCTAATTACCCTTATCTGCCTAGTTAACCTAATTAAGTTAAGCCTTAAAATGTCACTTTAAGCTGTATAGAAGTGTCTTGAAAAATATCTAAAAAAGTATTATTTACTGTCTTCATGGGAAAGATGAAATAAATCAGTTATTAGAGGGAGGGGGGGATAAACGTAGGGTCTAATAATTCAAGGGGGCTAATAATTCTGACTTCAACTGTAAGTAGTCCAAAAGAAGAGCATTTATTCAAATATGAATTTTAGTACGACTTTTATTTATAATAAAACAAATATTTACTGCAAACTTTTGAATGTTGCTATAAACACACTTTTTCTCTTCCTCTCTCGTTCATTTTAATGCTCTAGCCATCCATCAGAAGCTGGAATCGGACGGCACAGAGAAGGTGGAGGGCTCTATGACCCAGCGACTGGAGACCATCCTGAACAGTAAGACATAAGACCAAACACATGCTCACAGTTCCACAAAGCAGCTAAATTTAGGGTCAGTCTTGCATATGCGATCTCCTCAGACCATCAAAGCCACACATTTCACGCAGACCTGGCTGTGTTTCTGCGTGTGTTCAAAACCACTCATATCCCAATCATATCTCCATGTCAATTCTCTCATGTGACGGTAGGTCAATAAACACGCTGGTTTCCTGCGGGCCGCACAAATAAACCAGTCACACACTGACATGCTTTCATCGCCGACCTCTTCTCTTTCTCCTCGCCAGCCGTTTTTACATGTACATTTAGATGTATGTTCTTACCAGGGCCACTTATTGCTTTCGACCCTCTCAGCCAATCACAAGCCGACTCAAGACGTTTTATAGTGGCCAGAAGGCTGGATCTTATTAAATCTGACCAAGGGAATCCAGAATAGCTTCGACCACCCAAGACGAGGGAGATCTTGAATTTATTTGAAGCTGAGCGAGGATGATTAAAACCCTTTTTATCAGCTGTTGCCCTTCTACACGCTGTTCTCATCTCTTTCCATTTGCTCATTCCTCGCAGGAGCAAGTGAAACTGCTGACACTCTGTTTCAAGAAGTGCTGGGCAGAAAGGACAAGGCCGACTCCACACGCAACGCTCTCAACGTTCTCCAGAGATTCAAGTTTCTCTTTAACCTGCCGCTCAACATTGAACGCAATATACAGAAGGTGGTAACACACACACACATTTATCATTTCATGGGGACTTAGATATAATGACTTTTATACTGTACATTTTATAAAGCAGTATATTTTACATATAATCACATCACTTACAGCCTGGGCCAGATTTTTGCATAGGCATTCAGGGGGTGGGGGGATGTTACAATGAAGAAAAATTATTTATTTATTGTTTTATTATTTTTTCTTGTAATGCTTATACACTCTAAGACAATTACAACAGTAAAGAACAAAATATTGAATATCATGAAATATGTTCATCTAGGGGGTGCGAATATAGCCAGGGTGCAAATTATACATTGACAATCAGGGGGTCAACTAATATTATTACATACTAGTAATTTTTTTTTTTTGTGTAATTCATGCTTCAGTGAATCAAACTAAATGACATCAATTTTATCGATGCAACATATTTCATTTATCAGTGTTTTGTGGAATAGTTTGTGTATTCTGACCAATACAGAATCCTGTGATTAGCCAGAGGTCAAACTATACAAACAACACATCAAATTTTACTTTACTTTAAGACCATTTGGAGAAACAAACACCTATTTTACAAGAAAAGTATTTGTGAACACTTACCATATATATCGGCATAGATTAATTGATGTGATTATGCATTTACAATGGTATAATCCATTATAGGGGTGGTCATTTGTATATTTATATTATCTATTATTTAATTAGTATTGTTAGTAATTAAGATTCAGAGTTGAGCAAACTATTTAGAGGACTGACCCCCATACATGTTGTTTTCATGTTCTTCAGGGTGGATCAAGCATTAATTAGGGTGGTCAATCCCCCCTAAACCCCCTTTAATTCGCACCTTGGCTGTAGGGTCACAAAAATTTTTGGCCCCGCTTACAGCAAACCTAATGCATGCATTTTCAACATAAAAATGTCAATACATTTTCAACAAAAACTTTGATTGATTTATCGTCTCTCTTAAAAATGTTTCCATGACATTAAAAAAAATCTCACAACACCACTGTTGCAAAATTAGAGATTGCAATTTTGTTTCTGTGCAAAAATAAATACTTAAAACACTTTTGGTTCAGGAAGGGTGAACCAAATTTATCAAAAGTTACCGTAAAGTGTTTAAAGAAATTCTATGTGTGTGTATTTTTTCATAAATATATAAAGACTTATTGAAATGCATCACAGATTCCACTAAAATAGATTTTATAATAATTGACAAAATTTTACAGTATCACTTTTTTATTGTGTTTACACAAATAGTTGCTGCGTTTAGAGCAAACAAGTCTTGTTTTGAAAGCCAAATTTGTCATCATATAAACTGTGATTTGTAAAAATGTGTTTGTTTGTTTTCCATCCAGGGCGATTATGATGTGGTCATCAATGATTATGAGAAAGCCAAGTCTCTGTTCGGCAACACAGAGGTCCCAGTCTTTAAGAAAGGTAATCTGCTAAATGTCTAATAATGTATGTTAACATGGATCGTTTTATATGCATTCTTTTTAGCTGGAGTATTGTGTGAATATTAAGGAAGCCTGTCCTGCATATGTGTTTATAGTGTATTCCGAAGTGGAGACTCGCATTGAAGCCCTGAGGAAACTGCTTTTGGACAAACTTCTGGAAACGCCGTCTACTCTGCATGATCAAAAACGCTACATCAGGTGTGTGACAAACTACACTTGAATTTCAAAAAGAACTGAAGTGTGCCCGGTTAGTTTTTTTTTTAAATATATAAATAAACCAATAGTTTTTATAACAATTTAAAGGCTACTAATTGGTTAGAAAAAACTGTAGATGTTACATTTTATAATTTGGAAAATATGTCAGGAAACAAATCTTTCCCAAAATGTACAGGAAGCTTGATAATTTTATCCAAAATTATTTTACATAGAATAAAATGATTTATACTGTGAGAATAAACTGAATGGGGTATATACACACAGGCTTTTAATTTCAGTCAGCCAGCCCCAGGGCTACCGGTGAATTGTCATCCCATACTAAATCACAGCATTTAAGATCTGATTTCTTTAAAAAACAGCTTTCTTCACTGCCTGGCTGAGATATTATATAAAGTGGGTCTCAGACCAACGAAGAAGCACTGCATTAAATTATATTTTTCCGCGCCATGACTTTAAGATATGGAAATTAATTTTACCCCAGTATTTTTAATAGAGATTCTGTGCTAGCCTACTACTTATCACGGCCGCTGTGTTTAAACGGTTTTTCGTTTCATTTTACGCTGTAACAACCAAATGAATTCTTGAGTCTATTCAACTGATTATATTTAAATTACATTAGAAAATTGATGCTGTAAAAGGAACTTTATGAAATTGAAAATAGCCACATAAACATTTCACTGGAAGTTCATCGTTGGCTGAAAAGCTGTGCATATAGTCCATTATGAATATGAATTTTATTATATTTTATACAGTACTGTTAAATAGCCGGGGGTCAGGAAGAGGTATTTATTTATTTATTATTAAATTATATGAAGGAAGTTTCTGATGCTCACCATCTGAAATATTATTACAATTTCAATTAGCTTTTTGCTTTAAAAAAATATAATTCCTTCAAAGTGGTAGCTTTTACCTATTTGTCATAAATTTGTTTAAATGTAATAAAACTTAGCACGATCTCTTATTTTTTGTATATTTTAATATGCACATTACATAACGTAATGTAATGTTAACGTAATGTAATTACATAATGTTTAATTTTTTCATTAAGATGTCTGTATTTCACCTGTGTTTTGCCATTTTATCCTTACAAATGCTGTTTGGTACATTAAAACGTAATATGCTTCTATGTATTATCACTTTTGTAAATTCTGTTTAACATTTGTGTTGTTCCACCTATAAAAGTGAATCAAAAATGTCATTTATGGTCAGATTTAAAAACATTACCACCAGTTATTTAAGCTAATGGCATTAGAAACCAGCATCCAGTGGTCATGACAACTCCTAGTAACAACATTGCCACAACCCATTGACCTGTGATTACAAAAAAGCAGATAATCAAATGATTCCCTCTCTCATATTTTCATTCAGATATCTGTCAGACCTGCATGCTCCAGGTGACCCGGCATGGCAGTGTATCATCGCCCAGCACAAGTGGATTCTCCAGCTGATGCAAAACTGTAAAGAAGATTTCATCAAAGAGCAGAAAGGTACACACACACACACACACACACACACACACACACACACACACACACACACAGATAGTCTGAAATAAATTGATGGCTTCTTTACAGCGTAAAAGCAGTGTGTGTGTTCTGTGTGAGTGTGTTTATATAGAGAGCAGCCCGTGTGTGGTCTGGTCGTGACCCTATAGAGAACAGGAAGTCCATAGAGCTCTATATAGTGTGGCGGAGCTGAGGGGGGTTTGCAGGAGACACAGACAGACATCAGGGAATACAAGAAGAGAGAGGAGCGTAGATAAACATTGGAGATGATTGGACACCTGGATCAACACCAGCGCTCATTTTTTTCTTTTTTTGTATCAAAAGAGAGAGTAAATGTCCAAGTGCCTGAATGGTACATGTCTTTATCTGTATGAGAGAGAAACATGGTGTGTGTGTGTGTGTGTGTGTATACTCTGTGTGGACATATTGAGTGTTTCAGAATAAATCAACAATGTATTCAAGAGCCCCCGAAAGAGTTTTAGTGCCATCTGTTGTAAGAGAAGAGGTATTACATGTTACTTAATGTTTCATGTTTGCTGGTAATTAATGCCATGTTCACACACTTGGTATAAAAAGGATAGATTATCCAAAAAATAAAACTACCTCATCATTTATGCTTCTCCATGTGGTTTTAAACTTTCATCAGTTCTTCTGTTGAACACAAAAGAAGATATTTTAAAGAATGCTGGTTTCTGGCACCCATTGACTTCCATAGTATTTTGTCCATGGATGCCAGCAACCAGCATTTATCAAAAAATCTTCTGAAAATATAGAACTTTAAATGTTGGGTGAGCTGTCCCTTTAAGATGCAATCACAAGTGGAAAAAGGAGACTTGTGTGCTTCTTTTTTCACTTTTGACCACTTTCAACTTCTCTAATGAGGGGAAAGTGTGTTGATAAGTATTGGCCTATTGATCTTTCAGTCTAGCCTACTGTGAAAGCTAGCTTGGAATGTTCATACTGTACAAACAAATGGAGGAATTTGTAGAAAAGCAGTATAACATAAAAAACACAGTAAAAAAACTCATAGAGGCTAAACTGATAGCTGTGGCTCCTGATGACAAATTGAAGACTTAAAAAGCATCAGTCAATGCAAGAAACTGAACACTTATTTACAACATTATTATTTTTAATCCACTGTCTTGGATTTTGTTCATTCATGAGTTACCAATAACCACAGTTTCAGTTAAAATCTTCTTTAAAGTTCTACTGAAGCAAGCCACTGACATCTTGGTTGGTCAGGAGTAAATAAACAGCATGTTTTAATTTTCAGGTAAGCTATGTTTAAAAAAGCTGATGTAGGAGCTTTCTTCTTGTTGTTTTGTTTCAGTGGGTGGTGTCGGGTTGGATCTGGATCGTTCTTCAGTTCTGAACAGGATCAGTCTCTCGGCTCCAGTGAAGAGAGGAGGCAGTTTCCAGACGCCTAAAGATGACTGTGAGTACAGAAGACCTACATACTCGACTGTTTAGATTTTATTTAATGTAAAACACAGTTAAACAGTAACATGGTGAAATTCATTCGGCTTAGTCCCTTTATTAATCTGGGGTCGCCAAAGGGGAATGAACCGCCAACTTATCCAGCATATGTTTTACACAGCGGATGCCCTTCCAGCTGCAACCCAGTACTAGGAAACATCCATACACACTCATTCACACTCATTCACTAAAATTCACCTATACCGCATGTCTTTGGACTGTGGGGGAAACCGGAACACCCGGAGGAAACCCACACGAACCAGGGAGAACATGCAAACTCCTCATAGAAACGCCAACTGAGCCAGCCAAGGCTTGAACCAGTGACCTTCTTGCAATGAAGCGACAGCACTACCTACTACGTCGCCTAACATAGTGAAAAATTATTTCAATTTACAATACCATCTATTTTAATGCATTTCTAAAATGAAAGTTGAACTTTAAGTATCATTACTTTATTCTTTACTAGATTCTTCAGAAATCATTTTATTAGTCAAATAAATGGTAATATCAATGATTGAAATAGTTGAGTATTGTTTTTGTTGAAACCACAATTTAAAAAGTTTAAGTGATTTTTAATATACTTATGGAAACTCTCATATTATGTAAAAATATAAGTACTCTTTAAGAATCGGTACACATTGTGTCATTAATAAACAGTCATTAATATAGACTAACACTAATCTGTTTTTATATCTTTTCTAATGATTTTTGGTTTCTATTTTTGTTGTTAAATCTTGTATATATAAAGCTTGTCAATTTCAACTATACATTCTAATATAATATTAGGAAATGTTTTTGGGCATCGAATCCGTATATCAGAATGATTTCGGAAAGATCATATGAGACTGAAGACTGGTGTAATCATGCTGTAAAATTCAGCTTGGCCTTCACAAGAATAAATTACATATTAAAATGTACGGAAATTGAACAATAGCTCACAGTATTAATTCATATTATTACTTTTACTATTTTTTAAATTATTACTATTACTATATTACTTATTATTACTTTTTTATTTAAAAAAATGCAAACTTGATGAGCATAAAACCTTTGAATTTTAGTACGTGTTGAATATACAATGGTAAAAGAAAATCTGCTCTTGTTTTGATGCTTTGATTTTGTAGCTTAATGCAGAGTAATGTAATGTAACGTGTATTTATATAGCGCATTTATTGTGTATGCCCATACACACAAAGCGCCTCACAATCATGATACCAACACAAGTGTGCAGCATCCACTTGAATGATTTGACAGCGACCACAGGACAACGGCGTCAGTGCACTGACAAGCTATTGATGGAGTGTAGAGACAGTGAATAGAGCCAATTCGGTGGATGGGGATTAGGAGGCCATGATTGTAAGTGCTGATTGAGGGACTTTGGCCAGGACACCGGGGTCACAGCCCTACTCTTTACGAGAAGTGCCATGAGATTTTTAATGACCACAGAATCAGGACCTCGGTTTAACATATCATCCGAAAGACGGCTCTCACTGACAGTATAGTGTACCCTTCACTTTACTGGGGCATTAGGACTCGCACAGACCACAGGTTGAGCACCCCCTGCTGGCCTCATTAACACCACTTCCTAGTTTTCCCATGTGGTTTCCATCCTGGTACCGACCAGGCTCAGCCCTGCTTAGCTTCAGTGAGTAACCAGTCTTGGGCTGCAGGGTGATATGGCTGTAGCAATAAGTTTGAATTAGGACAGAAAAATGGTGTCATTGTTGACTGGTTGTGAAAGTAAACGTAAAGCTCATTTGTCAGCTGTTTTAATTTTAGTAGCAAAATGCTGTTCTTTTTACAATTATGTCATATTGTTTCTCCAGCTTGGCACTATAAAAGCCCTCAGCAGGTGAGGTTTGTGGAGAAGCTCTCAGATGTAGTCATCAGTCAGCTGCCCAACTTCTGGAAGCTCTGGATCTCCTACGTCAATGGCAGTCTGTTCAGTGAGGTAGATGCACACAAAACTATGTCAGGATTTTAGAACAATAAAGTTTTGATTGCGTATATATTCATAATCATGCTTGTGTTGTCTTAAACAGACAGGAGAAAAGTCTGGTCAGGTGGAGAAGTTGAAGAAGAATGCCAGACAAAGACAAAATGACTTTAAGGTCAGTACAATAGTTCCAGAATTTTAGTGTAAAGATTGAAATCCATAACATTTTCAGACACCAAAATTGTTATATAGCATGAAATAAACATCAGTTAGTGTGTTGAAAGAAATCATATAATGACGGAGCAATAGAATAGCTGGTAAAAGTTTATATATTTCTTTTATTTTATACATTTTTTTGGAACATTATTAAATAAATTTGATTATTATTTTTTATTAGTAGGTTTATGTAACAGGGACAATGCAGTATAATATTGCTACAGTTTAAAGCAGCCGATGCTCCACATATAAGCTTTTAGTTAAAGGTTAATTTGCAGTCTTAATCTCTGACTTTTTTAGACTCTAAAACAATACAAATATCTTTATAATATATATACAAAAATACATTACCAATACATTAAAAAACTGCATGACAGTCATTGTTTACAAACCTGTTTTAGCTGGAACCACTTTTTCAACTCTCTTTGAAATTTGTTTCAACATGCTGTACCAAAGCAGTGTACCTTGACCTGGAAATGTATTTTTTTGTGTTTGGTTCTGTGCAGTTCTGATTGGTTACACTTAATCCCATTACTGCTTGATTATGATATTGATTTCAAAATCATTTTAATAAAAGCCACGTTAATACAATTATCAAAACTAAACAGATTATCTTTTTGTCGATTATTGCAGTGGTGCCATCAAATGTTTTCTTATTAAATAAATGTAATCTTTTTTTTTTATTTTTTTTTTTTTTTTTATTGTATGCCCATATTCACAAAACATTAACATCAAAATGTTGTAGCATAAAGAGAATGTACAGTCTTGAGAGTGAAAGTAAAAGAGAAATTAATGTAAAAAATAAAAAAATAAAATATATAGGTGAAAAATAATTAAAAGTACAATTACATCATCTTAGAGTAGGTTATAACAAAAAATGTAAATGAATGTCAAGGATGTTGTGTTAATTTAAGAGAGCTCTTTTATGTACTCCCAAAGGGGAGACCAAATTGACCAAAATCTATCAAATTTTTTATGTTTGTCATAGGTAAGTTTTTCTAATGGTAGCCATGTAGCAATCTGTGATATCCACATTTTAAAAGATGGAGCTTGTGATGCAGACCAGAGTAGCAAAATACATTTTTTAGCTAAATATACCAATACAATAAATAACTGGAATGCATCTTTTTCAAACAGATTATTTGCATTAAGATTCAATAAGTACAAAGCTGGGGTCATGTCAAAATTTAGCTTAAGAATATTTTCCAGTACTTTATGTATTTTCTTCCAAAATGGCAAAATTTTGCCACAGTCCCAAAAACTATGAATGAATGTACCTTTATCTTTTTTACATTTGAAACACAGGTCTGTGGCATTGGCAAACATTTTCTTAATACGTATTGGAGTTAAGTAGATCCTGTTAAAAAATTTAAAATTAAGCTCATGGATCCCAAGAGACGTACACTTCGGGTATATATTATCACATACAATTTCCCAGTCATTTTCTTCAATAGTTTGACCAATATCCTTCTCCCAAACATCTTTAAGTCCTAACCAGGCAGAAGTGCAATTGTTAGACAAAGTGTCATAAATCCTTGTTATCAATCCTTTTAAACAAGCTGAATTCAGTAAAAGGTATTCGATCTCTGTTGTTTTGGATCTGAGCTCTCCTTTGTCCAACTTTGGTTTTAAAAAATGTCGTAATTGTAGATATTTATAAAAATTGGATTTTGGAACGTTATATTGATCTACAATCTGTTGGAAAGATTTTATGGTGCCTTCTGAAAGTAAGCAAGATATTTGAGAGATGCCCAGTTCCCGCCATGCTGAAAAAACAGTGTTTTGCAATGTTAAAGGCATATCAGGATTAAAAGAAAGTGGGGAGAACAGGGAGAAAGGGCTGGAGATTCCCATATGTGTCTTTACATCTTTCCAAGTTCTAAGAGTATTTGATATGATAAAATGTTCAGAAATCTTTTTTAGTTTTATATAATTTTTAACAAATGGTAAATATTTAATTGGTAAAGGGGAGCAAGCTGTTTCTTCCATTTTAAACCAACTAGAGTTAGTCCTCTCATTACACCAGCTAATCATGTTTTTTATTTGGGCAGCCCAATAATACAACTGGAGATTTGGTAAGCCTATTCCACCCCTGTCTTTAGGCTTCATTAATTTAGAAATTTTAATACGCGGTCTTTTATTGTTCCAGATAAACTTTGAGATGTGTTTATTAAGATCTTTGAAAAATGAATTTGCTAAGTAGCTAGGTATGGACTGGAATAAATATAAGAATTTAGGAAGTACATTCATTTTTATTACATTTATTCTTCCTAGAAATGAGATTGGGAGTGAACACCATGTTTTCAGATTAAGTTTGAGTTTTTCTATAAGAGGTGTATAATTATGTTTAATAAGGTCTTTAAGTGAAGATGTGACATGGATTCCTAGATATCTAAAGCCAGTTTCTGATAATTTGAATGGGGAGATTAATTTTAAATGTTCCAAAGAAGGGGTGTTTAAGGGTAAAGCTATGGATTTGGAAAGATTTATTCTGTAACCAGATAAACTACTGTAGTGTGAGATGCATTCCAGCAATGTTGGAATAGACTGCTCTGGTTTGGACATAAATATGAGCACATCATCTGCATAAAGTGAGGTACGATGATCTTCCCCTCCTATTAAAATACCGTGGAAATTTCTGTTTTGTCTGATGAGTTCTGCTAGGGGTTCGATTACTAAAGCGAAAAGCAAAGGTGAAAGAGGACAGCCCTGCCTCGTCCCTCTTCCTATGCGAAATGGAGTCGAAGTGAGACCATTTGTAACTACTGTTGCTTTAGGATCAGAGTAAAGCAACTGGATCCACTTAATAAAATTATTTCCCAGATTAAATTTATTAAGAGTCGCAAATAAGAAGTCCCACTCGACTCTGTCAAAAGCTTTATCGGCATCAAGGGAGAGAACAAGTGCTGGGTGTCCCTCACCTTGGACAAAATTAATAACATTTAAGAGTCTGCGTATATTATCTGTTCCATAACGTGATTTTATGAAGCCTGTTTGGTCTGGCTTTATTAACTTGGGGAGCATACTCTCTAATCTACATGCCAAAACCTTTGCTAGTATTTTAGAATCTGTATTAAGTAGACTAATTGGCCTATATGATGCACAATCTTGGGGATCTTTATCTTTCTTAAGTATTACACAGATGTTTGCTGTTTTCCAAGTTTCAGGAATCGTGCCTTGATCTAAGATATTTTGTAAAGCTGGAACTAAAATGTTAGAAAGTTCAGGCCAGAATGATTTATAAAATTCTGAGGGGAAACCGTCAGGTCCTGGCGATTTGTTGGATGACATTGATTGTATCGCAGCTAGGACCTCTTCTGGAGTTATAGGCGAATTAAGATAATCTCTATCTTTATCTGAAATAATTGGAAGAGAAATATTATTGAAAAAAGTTTGAATTTGTAGTTGTGAAGCACTGCCTTGTGAGCTATAGAGTGATTCATAGTAGGATCGGAATGTATTATTTATAATGGCAGAGTCATATGTAGAGGTACCATTTGACATCTTTAGGGACTTGATTGTTCGTTCTGATTGTTCCTTTTTAATCTGATATGCTAACAATCGGCCAGGTTTGTTTGCATTCTCATAATAATTCTGTTTGGAAAGAAAAATTAGTTTTTTTATATGATTAGTGTGATCAAGGTTAAGTTTAGCCCTAGCATGACATAAAGTAGACCAGTTTGATTGAGTGGGGTTACTGCTGTGTAGATGTTCAAGTCTTTTGACCTCTTTTTCCAAATCTTGTCGTTTAGCTATGAGAGCTTTCTTATGCGCAGCAGTATAAGAAATAATATATCCCCGAATTGTGGCCTTGGCTGCATCCCACATTATTGTGGGAGAGACAGATGAATTTTTATTATCTGACCAATAATTCTGTATTGATTCCCGTACAATATTACAAAATTTGGGGTCCGATAACAAAGAAGAGTTTAATTTCCAGGTCTTGTTATTTGTTTTGGGGATTTCTAATTTAATATCTAATTGAACTGGAGCGTGATCTGAAATGGTAATTGAACCGATTTGACTAAAAGATGCAAGATTAAAATAGGTGTTTGGAATAAAAATATAATCAATTCTTGAGTATGAACAATGTGGGTTAGAATAAAATGTATAGTCTCTAGTAGTAGGGTTTAATTCTCTCCAACTATCAATTAGGCCAATTTCTTTACATAATTTTTTAAGTACCAAAGAAGATTTAGGATTAACTATAGTTCCTGATGAAGATCTGTCTAGTCTTTCATCTATCACACAATTAAAATCTCCAGCACAGATCCCCAGTCCTGTGCAGTGTTCATTAAATAACAAAATGATTTTAGACATAAATTTGGGAGAATCTTCATTGGGCGCATAGACATTCATCATTGTGATGTGCTGCCCATGCAAAAGGCCAGTGACCAAAATGAATCTACCCTCAGGATCTCTAATTTGGTTTTTCAAAATAAATGGCAAGTGTTTATTAATTAAAATAGTTGTACCTCTTTTCCTGGGATTATTTATGCATGAAGAATAATACACTTGACCCACCCAATCTCGTTTCAATTTTAAATGTTCACTATCCGATAGGTGTGTTTCCTGAAGCATAGCCACTTTAACTTTTTCCTTTTTTAAAAAAGTTAAAACTTTTTTCCTTTTAATCACATGTCCTAATCCTTTGACATTCCATGTTATAAATTTAGTCGAACTCTCCATTACCACAATGTGTAAAAGAAAATAAAAAGTAGACTGTAGTTTTCTTCATGAAAATAATACAATAACAGTATATGATGGGCAAATTTTTAACCTTAAAGAACAGCAAAAAACGACAAAACAACTCCCTCTCCCCCACCCCAGGCTCTGTCCCCAAATGACAGTGCCATCTAAATCCCCCTAAACCTAGGTCTCTGTACCTCACTGGGCTCAGGTAAAGAAAAATTATACCTGCTACCAACATAAGGTTCAGGATCATATTTGAGAGACACTTGCCTCACATTAATCCGCTCCAATAAAACAAATATAATCTCGGACTACCCATACAGCGAAAAAGAGAAAAAAAAAAAGTTAAAAAAAAAAAAAAAAAAAATGAAACATTTGTTTTCATTGAAACAAAAATGACAGGAAAAAATGATTAGTCTGTTATATGAATTAACAGTCACATCTGTCATTCAAAATAGAAATGGCGTATGAGAATCCGGATGAAATAAAGTCACTACTCCTCCAAATATAACTCAGATGAAAGAATACTTAAGAATTCCGTCTCCCTCACTTATCTTGCAAAGTCTCAATGAACTCCTCCACCGCGGCCGGAGTGTTAAACGTACGAAGTTCCGAGCCAAAAAGACAGCGCAGCTTGGCCGGGTACGCAAATCCACGGAACATTTTGCGATCTATCAGAATCTTCCTCACAGCATCGAATTCTTTTCGTTTCCTCATCACCTCTACCGATAGATCTTGAAAGAAGCGCACCTGTTTGCCTTCGTGAGTAATATACCTTTTTTTCAGCGCTGCTTGTATAATGCGCTCTTTATCCGCGTAGCGTAGAAATCTGACAAGTACGCTTTGTGGTGGGTCACTGCCTCCTGGAACGGGTCCAAGCGATCGGTGCGCTCTCTCAATCTCCAGCCTGGGATCAAAAGAAAGGTCGAGCCATTTTGGTATCATTTCCATCAGGAATTGAGCTAGCGGGGTAGAGCCCTCCGCTTTCGTTTTCTAAGTCGTCCACTTTAGCTTGAAGTCGAGTCACTGTTTTCGTCAAAGTAGATAGTTCCCTTTCGCGGGTCTGCAGAGCGTCTTCTGTGGTAGAGATCCTATTTTCGGTTTCCGTAACACGAGAGTCAATTGAAGACACTCTTTGTGACAAATTAGATAAAGTTTCGTGAACGACAGATACCGAATTCGATATAGCATCGAGACGACTTTCAATAGTGTCGAAACGTCCATCTATATTCCCCAATTGGGTACTTAGTGATCGTATTTCATTCAGAACTGGGTCCGTTTGCTCTACCGAGGTCGAGGCCGAGGCCGAGGTTGTTTCTGCTGACGTATTTTGTTTCTTCTTTTTCTGCGATCGCGAAGAAGAGAAAAGTGGAAAATCCTGGGTCTCGGGCATGTTCTCTGGAAGTTAAGCTTTTTAATTATGGAATTCTCTTACTCAGATTGAGGAGGGTAGCGATTTATTAAGTAATAAGGAGCGGAGCTACAGTTTAGGCTGCCATCTTCTCCAGCGTCCGCGAGCGCCCCCCAAATGTAATCTTTTTAATTGTGTTTCAGGTTTTGATCTAAATAAAGGTTTAATTACAGTTTTCATTTTTACTGAATGCAGTTAGGTGAAGCTTGTTTTTTGTTGTATTTAATTGGTGCATTTGGTTGTATGTAGGGCATGATTGAGGAGGTGACCCGTCGCCTGGTGCAGTTGGTTCGAGGTGCTCTGTTACCCTCTTCTCTTACTGAGCTCCAGCTGAGGCAGTATGGAGGCTGGGACACCAAAACTCCGCTCACTGGAGCTTGGCTCACACAGGTCATCCACACCGTCAGGTATTTGTGTGAGCTTGTAGAGAAAATGTAGGAATAAATGTATCTAAATGCACATTACAAAATGACCAACTCCAAAATTTTCTATTGACAAACAGGAAATAGTTCAATCAAAATTGAAAATTCTTGTCGCCTAAATAATACAACGTGTTGAAATTGTGTTGTAGAGAGAGAGAGGAAAAATATGTAAGCCTCAGCATTATAGGGACAGCGGATAGTTCACCAAAAGTGAAAATTTACTCTCCATTTTCTCACACGCATGTGGTAATAAAGTTTTATGAATTTCATTGTTCTCCCAAACATAAAACAAGATTTTCCAAGAGATGTTGAAACCAGCAGCCATTGAAATCAATAGTAGGAACAAAAAATACTATGGAGGTCAATGGCTGCTATATCAGTATATCTTCCTTTGTAATCAATAGAAGAAAGAGACTCAGGCTAAGTTTTTCCTTGCATTTTAAAACATGCACATGGTTTTGAAAACGTTGTCGTTTTACACATCCACAAAAACATACATGTATGATGAGTTTGCACTGTTGATTGCAATGTAAAATAAATCTACAGTTTACTTGCTGAAGCATTAGCAAACACTAGAGCAACAATAACTATTGCAGATACACCGTCATTGTTGTGTGTTTGTTTGCACTTGCCTTTAATCTACTACTCTAAACATATACTATGCACGTGACGTCAAAGACTCAGGCACAACAACAGCAGCATTTTCAAAAACGTTCAGCTCCAGATATATGCATTTTCAATTAAAAAACTCTATTTTGTAAACAAACAAAACGTATAAAATGTTTTTAAAAAATCTTAAAATGTTGTGTAAACAGCCTCCCAAACAGGTTTCGAACAAGTGGAGGCTCAGGAAATGATGACAGAATTGAAGTTGCAATTTAGAACTTCAGAAATTGTTTAAAAAAGGATACAGTTAGCACTAAAAAAATAATATTTGAACTTTGATAAAATAAAACATGCCTTTTAACTTTATTGATATTCAGAAAAAACAAATGAATGAGAGATGTCAGTATAAAACTAATTATTTACTATAATATAATTTATTAATAACATAAGACAGAATTGTCTGGGAAATGCTCATATATACTTATCTCTCTGTCATTTAGCATTACTCCAAATGTCTATGTATATTTTGCTATTTTGATGTTAATTGCATCATATATATATATATATATATATATATATATATATATATATATATATATATATATATATCACTTTAAAATATAAATTGCAGCACTTTTAGAAAAAAAAAAAACGTAACAAGTATTCAGTAGAATGCAGAACTTCAGATTCAGTTTAATCTGGATTAGATAGTTGTTTTTCCTATCACAGATTCTTGTGTTTACATATTAAATTAAATCTAACTGTTTGTTATGATTTTGAATAGCCTATTTTTAGTAGCAGTAGGATTCGAGCTAGATACTCTTATCTCAGCTAAGAGGTCGTGACCTTACATGTAAATATTACGTTAGACACATACTGTGTCTTTACATAACACAAATTTACAAACCACTTCAAATTTCAGATTTACACGTGCTGTCGTTTCTGCTGCAGTATTCTCATTCGCATTAATGTGTGACCATTCCTGTAGTAGTAAAATATTCATCCATCTTTGTCATATATTTTGATATAATTCTTGTTTTTCTGGTCTCTCTCAGGTTGAGTCATGAGGCTCTGTCGGCTCTGGAGATTCCCAATGACCTGCTGCAGGTGATTCAGGATTTACTGCAGGACCTGCGTGTGCACTGCCTGCTGACCACACTACAGCACACTGAAGAGGGTACGAGCACACATTCACTCAGCTCATTTAAACATTCATGAAGGATGAGTTTACAGATGTATTCTGTTCAATATTTCCTCAAAACTAACTGGACATAGAACCACAATCCTTCAGAAAGCATACTAATATTCTCGTTTGGTGCTCAAAATTGTATTTTAATTATTATTATGTTTAATTTTTTAAGCTGTTGTTTTGCCGTTTGGATGCTTCCTTTAGTATTTTACTTAATAGTAGCATTGCTTGAGTAGGTGAGATGGTTTAACACAGTGCAATTACATAAATAAATGTGTGTTATGAGAATTATTTGTAAATCTTTTTGCTACAAATCAAAATTTTAAAGAGACTTTTTCCTGCAGTTTTCTGCCCAAATAAATTGTGTAAAAAGAAATTTAGAAATCATCTTAATATGGACTGGCTGATAGGTACTGTATATTGATCTTTTGCTGATAATCTGTATGAAAGATTATCAGCAAAAGATCAACTGTATGAAACCAGCAGAGGGAGCTTTAGAGCTCTTGACTAGTAGATTCAAATTGCAGTTCAATATAAACAGCTCACCACTCTGGATACTGTTTTTTAAACAATAGCCATCTCTAGTGAGTTACATTTTTATTCATATAGTTAATTATTCATATATTTGCAAATGCTAGTTATTATTATGCTAGTTATCTTCCTGAGCACTTTCAAAGCCTCAGAATTCAACAGAATTCCATTCATCCTTTCTGAAGCAAAGTATCATTTGAATTTTGTTGCGTATGACTTTATTTTAAATAAATTAAAGTTCCATATAAGTGCAAATAGCCATTTGTTGTTGTAACATAAGTATAATTATAACTTATACTAAAATGTTTTGTACATTTAAATGGCTAGCTTACACAGTTAAAGTGTGTTTGTGATAATGTAAGAGTTGGAGAAGTGTGTATTGAATGTACTGATTTAATGTGATATAACTGTGTTTAGATGTAAAGAGACTTGCTGAAAAAGAAGATTGGGTTGTGGACAATGAAGGAATCACATCACTGGTATATCATTTATGATTTTAGTGTATTTTATACTAGTTCATTTGATTTCAAAATGTCACTGTTAAAAGCTTAATGATAACCTGTGTATGTGTGTGTTTCAGCCGGCCCAGTTTGAGCAGTGTATGGTTCAAATGCTGCAGTCTCTGAAGGAGCCCATGGAGTGTAAACCTGGAGAGATCAATGTACAAACCCTCACACACAACTCATAGATCACTTACAGAATAATCAATTAAATGTGGGACCCTAGACCACTAGGCCTGTCATATGTGTGATTTATACATTAAGTTCAACTGAATATATTAGCTTCCATTCATGGGTTATATGGATCTGACAATATTTGTCTGAGATACAATTATTTGAAAAAAATCTGAGGGTTAAAAACACCTAAAAAATGAGAAAATCACATTTAAAGTTCATTCATTTTCTTTCACCATAGTCTCTTATTTACAGTATCAGGGGTCGCCACAGCAGAATGAAACGCCAACTATTTTGGCATAAGTTTTTACAGTGCCCTTCCAGCCACAAACAGTTCTGTAACACATTTAAAAGTTATCCAAATTAAGTTCTTAATAATGCATACTGCTAATCAAAAAGTAAGTTTTGATATATTTACAGTTAGAAACTTTCAAAATATCGTAATGAAACATGATCTTTACTTAGTATTTGAATTATTTTTTGGGTGTAAAAGAAAAAGCAATTTGACCCATACCAATAATTTTTAACTATTGCAAAAAATATACCCATCAAAACAAGACTGGTTTTGTGGTAGAGGGTCACATTTGTTTTGTTTTTTTTGTCAACAGATCTTCAATCTTGATGTGGTTCAAGACAAAGCGTGTGAACAGTGTGTTTCTATTATGAAGGTATAGTGTGCATTATTGTGTGTGTATCTTGGGGCTTGTAAATGTAAGTCCTGCTGAGTTACCAATGTTTTAATGTCTTTGCTTGTTTTAGGTCTTCATTAAGTGCCTTGAGCAGCTCAGCACCAAGACTGATGAAGACATCAACACCTCTCAGTGAGTGTTACTATGCTTATATCATTTCATCAAAATGTTTATTACCGTTTCTTCAGAACAAGTTTGATTTGGTTAGTGATTCTGGATTTATATTTTTGGTTATTGAGTTATTGTTGTTTACAATAAAAGTCGACACTACTTGCATTTGATATGCTTTCTATATATAAAAAAAATATTCTGTACATTTAATGCAGAGACCAAAATAGGACTTTGTCTTTAAAATGCATGTCATAAACTATTTTTATTTAGAATTTAAAAACATGCTAACATTAAAATAAAATTCAATATTTTCATGGCTTTGTTTGAAAAAAAAAAAAAAAAGATTTAATATAGGCAAATCTGAACGTCATGACCTGTTCCATTTTGCAGTGGTTTTGAGGATAATATCAAGGTCTTTCTCTTTCAGTTTATCTGTGGATTTGACTTCACCTGATCTTTTTGGAAGCATAAAGGAAGACTTTAGTTCAAAACCTGTAAGCTCATTCTTTTCATTTCCTCACAATTGTTCACAATGTTTCATTTCATCTTTCTCTCTCTCTTTTCATAGCAGTAATCAAGTCCAACAGATCAGTATTCTATTAAATGTTTTCAGATGATTTTATTATTCATATAAAAAAAGTTTTCTGGCAGTTAGCACATCAAGTTATGCTTCTCATATAGCCTACAGGTTTAAACCTGACTGACCTGAAGCACTTAATTTTATACTATTCTCTTTACTTTTTTATTATTAATTCACTTTCACATCAAAAAAGGCCAGATAAATAAGCATTAGCGTCCCTCTTTATATTAATTAGCCTTAACTATTATTTAGAAGAAATTTTAAAACCATTTTAAACAATAGTTTTTTAATAACTAATTTGTTTTGCCTGTCATGATGACAGTACATAATATTTTAATAGTCATTTTGCAAGATACTAGTATTTAGTTCAATTTAAAGGCTTTACTTCAAGTTAGATTAATTAGACAAGTCATTGAACTGTAGTGGTTTGTTCTGTAGCCAGTTAAAAATAATAATTTCTGAAAGGATCTAATAATATTGACCTTTGAAAACGGTTTAAAAATTTTAAAACTGGTTTAACTCTTGAAAAACTAAGAACTAATGCATTAAGAAATAACAAAAACAATATGCTGTCACAATTTCCTTGCTCCAATAATCATCACTTGGGAATGATTTGAATATTACTTTCACAGAAGGCCTAGTAATTTTGCCTTCGACTGTAAGTGTTTATTTATGATAGATTGAAATGCAGTGCAGAGGTGGATGTCACCATGACAGGATATTAGAGAATAGGAAGTGAGTGTTGATAGCAGCTACCTTCACACTGCTCTGACATGCTCATTAGTCACAGATGCTTTTGACTGAAATCCAAATAACACCGCGCTGTCACGTAATATCTGAACCACAGAGTGTCCCAGTCTTACTGAAAGCTGAAAACATTCTAGATGAAGAGATTGAGAGTAAGACAGAGAGAAACCAGGTAATGAGGCCATGGGTTTAAAATGATCAGAATGAAACCTCACCGCATTGATTGAAGATATACAGGGACCTCATATAACCCTAATGCGTTTCTACCTTTATTCTTCATCTTCAGTAATGTGTGCACGTGTTTGAGTAAACCCCATAATGTGTTTGGAATGATTTTACAAAAGATACAAAATTGTATAAATGTAAAATGCTATTCTGTAGCTGGCAATGCTCAACATTTGCTATGATTAGCCATTTGTAGTTATTTTGGGGACTTTTTCTTTCTTTCTGTGAACAGCTCTGTCAGTTCCTTAAGTTTGTGCAGATGTCATTGCAGTGCAACCACAAGTCTAATTTATCACATTTATAGTTGATGTATTCCTCCAACATTTGTTTATAAATAAGTTTTGATGTTATGTTGATGTAGAATATTTAAGCATATTGCATGTAACTTTTCAGTTTTTAACATTTCTGATAACATAATGAAACATTTTAAGAAGATCTGATAAGATTTGTTCTAAATTTCAAATAAAAATATTGCCATTTCATAGCATTATTTAGTCATAGATATTTATAGGAAGGAATGTGTCAGTAGAGCTGCCATTTGAGTACTGGGTAGCGCTCCTTTAAAATAAATGTGGGACTAAGGTGCAGTGGAGGACTGGCCATGTGGAGCTAATGATATATACACATTTATACATGTATCTATGGTCGGGACGTTTTAAATGACTTTATTTACATGTGTTTGTGTATATGGAAATGTATTCTCACTCCCTGTTAAATTTGAGTCCCTGTGTCCTGAAACACACCTGCTTTCATTTCTAATTCTAACGGAGTGAGCGATTAGTTTGTGGATGAATCTTCGTTATGAATGACTCATGTGAACCATCGATATCCCTGAATGTGCATATCCACCTTTCTGATCTAAATCATATATGCTGTATATATACATATACATATAACCTATCATACAATAATGAAAAAAATCTTTAATTATGAAATGTTATGTCTTTGTTTTCTTTGTTTGCACGTCACTATACCTGTACGCAGCTCAAAATTCCAGCATCTTTAGATTGGCTTTAGTCTTGACTAGTGCAGTTGAATGACTTTTGTCCAAGGAGCACTGTACAAATGTGGCGGCGATATTGACACATGCTCAGGGCCCATATGCGATATCTAGTGTATATATCTATGTTGTTTGTTCAGAATAAAAAGGTATTTTATTTGTTGTGATTTGAAAATCAGGTTTATTCTGCCAAATGTTGGTTTATTTACCGTTTAAACATTGGTATCAAATTAAAACATAACACCTTTTTTGTTATTTTATACCAAACAAAAGCTCAATTTGACATTATTTATGTTAAATTTAGAAGAAATGCCATTAGTAGCTTATACTGTATTTATGTCAACTAAATTCCACTTGGTGTTTATGTCATATAGTGCAAAGAAATGATTTTGTTATGGTAGTGCAAAGAAATTCTCACTTTTTTCCAAAAGCTTTCTGGGCATGCTGTGTTTTTGTTTTTTTATTGGTTCTGAAGAACACTTTTCCTGAAAAAACATCCTGTGTTCCGTTATGAAAGCCTTTGTCACACTTTCCATCTGCAACACAGCAAATATTCGAGCAGGAGATTGTTGTGAAAAACAGCAGATTTCTTCTCGCAGAGCTCAATGTAGCTGTACTCGGATGGGGTTTCCCCTCGTATGCAGTGGAAGAGCTGCAGGTTTCCCCTCTATCTCTCACTCTTTCTCTATTTTACTCTCTCCCTTTCTCTCTCTCTCTCTCTCTCTCTCTCTCTCTCTCTCCCTCTCTTTCTCTCTCTCTCTCTTTCTCTCTCTCTCTCTCTCTCTCTCTCTCTCTTTCTCTCTCTCTCTCTCTTCTTCGCACATTGTTTTATGGTTCACCGGTTTTTGAGTAAAAGCACAAAAATACCCATCATGCCTATAATATCATTGCTACACGTACATTTCTGTATACTCTATTTTTCATTTTATACTTTTACATTTTTTTTTTTTTCATGGAGTGTCTTGTATTTTTTAAATTTGCATTTATTTGATTAAATACAGTGAAGATGTTTTCTTTTTCTTTTTTTTTTTTAAATATTGTTACAAATGGTTTCCTGTTTGACTTTAATTTATTCAAAGCAGAATTTTCAGCACCATTACTTTCAAAATCATTCTAATATGCTGATTTAGCCCTCAAAAAGCATTTATTATTATTATCATCATCATCAAAATGAAAAGGTTTTAATCCTTAATGGACCATTTTCACAAGACTGTTATGATGAGTTTAATGCTCATCATAATCTTAAATCATTGAAAGTTTTTAACATTTAGATTTTGTTTTTTAAGTGTGAACAATTATATGAAATTATAAATGTATTATCATCTTTGCGTCAAATTACAAAAAACTAATTGGCGCTTATGCGAGACTTTTTTTAATGCAGCGTCTATGGGGATGAGGGTAAATTTGATTATTTGAATTTTGATTATTCTCTCCTCTGGCTGCCATTATTAGTCTCACACAATTTTTTTCATTTCTTTAAAAGTCTTGATCACACCATCGTGGAGTTTTTCTTTCATTATTTCAGCAAATAGAGTTGTAAAAATATTATTTGTTGTACTTTCCCATTTACTGGGCTCTAAGACCCAGCTTTAACCAACTGTGTCATTTTCCGTTACTGAGAAACCCGTATATGTGAAAAGGGTCTATACCAGGGTTGTGCAAACTTGATCCTCGAGGGCCGGTGTCCCTGCAGAGTTTTGTTCCAACGCTAGTCAAACACACCTGAATAAACTAATCAGTGTCTTCAAGATCACTTGAACTCTATAGGGAGGTCTGTTTGAATAGGGTTGGAGCTAAACTATGCAGGACACCGGCCCTCCAGGATCAGGTTTGCCCACACCTGGTCTATACGCTCAATTAAAAAAAGCAAAAAAATATTATTAAAAATTACAGTTTCAAACAGTTTCAAACAACATTTGAAGTGAAAAGAAAAACGTTTATGAAAATTGTATTAAACTTTTAAACAACAATCATTCTTATTTGAGAACTATTTTGATCATTTTGTTTGATCCAGTTCAAATGTTGACTACTATATAGTATATTATTCATTATAAAACAATGGGGGGGGGAAATAAATAAATAAAGTACCACTTGAAAATTCTCAATTTCTCTGTATTTATTAAATATGGGTTTGAGTCAAATGCTAATATTTGTTTTATGCATTTAATGTTTAATAACCTTCCTTCCAAATTAACTTAAAAATATTGTCATTTAGATTTTTTTTCTTCTTCCAAAAATAAAAGTAGGGCAGAATAACAAATGTTTTCATTAACTGCGATCAAAGATCAGCGCTATTCCACCGAACATAGATTTCTTTTGTTGATTACTATTGTTTACTCTTCTGTAACAAAAAATACATTTGACTCAGATCCTATGATTAGAAGCTGGTAGTTTTCAGGTAGTCTCGTTCTTCCTCCCCCTTATTATTACCTTACTGTTAAATATGAATTGGTTTCTTATGTGTGTGGGTTTTATTTTCTGCAGGAACAGCGTCTTCTCATCATTCTCAGTAACTGTCAGTATCTGGAGAGACACACATTCCTCAATCTAGCAGAGCACCTGGAGAAGAATGGCTTCACCATGGCAGACAAGATCATTAGGGTACAAATACACTTTCCTGTTCCCTTTTTTACTTCAGTCCACAGTTTTAAGCACCTTAACAGATGTGTTTCTAAGTTCTGTTGCTGATGTTGTCTTTTACTGAAGTGAGAATGACTCACACAGTCTGAGGAGAAGCTCAAGGGTTTTTCGTGGTGGCATTACTACTCACTCAGTCGGCAGCCAAGAGGGTGAAGCCCTCGCAAAAGGTTATGGTTACCTTTCCAGTAAATGCAGATGGTTTTGATGAAGATCATAGAGAATGTAATGATGAGAAGACTTGCTGTGGCACATAGAAGAGCTTGATTACTCATAGAAGAGCTTTAGCGCTTGATCCCAAACTGACCTGCTTATAATAAAGTGATAGTTCACGCCAAAATTACGCTTACTCTGAAGTTACTTATCAAAGTCAACAGGCACTCTCAACTGTCAGCTTACCAACATTCTTCACAATATCTTCTTTTGTGTTCATTAATGAAATATTCTGTAAATACAAATGAGAAATACATTTTTTATTGATCATTTATCAGAAGTTGTCTCATTGCATTAAAGTATTTGCATACACCTCTTACTCTAAATGGTGATTCACTCTGAGACTCAGCTTAACTTTATTCAAATTAAAGTGATGCAGCAATTACCAATGGTAGTGCAGAATGCTACAGATGTATTCTACAGATTGATTGTCTATTAAAAACCAGCAGCTTATAGATTATTGTTAAATGTGCATAGTTTTGTGCTACAAGTATGTTAGAATCGTGCAGTTTAGATGGTTAGTTCACACAAATAATAAAACATCAGTCATTATTTGCTCACTCTGAGGTTGTTTCAATGCTGTGTGCCTGCCTTTTTATTTGTTTTCAGACCACAAAACACATATCAATTCAAACAAATATCCTGCGTGTGCTTTTAATGTTAATGAGAGTGGACTGAGCCAAACCATAAGGTCTTTTGAAAAACAATGCAAAAACGTATGTGCTTACAAAAAATTCTTTGTTTTTTTTCTTAAGTTTTTATGCAAGTCAGAAGTAAGTCTTTTCTTTAAATTCTCATGTCAAACCTTGAGTCTTTGCATTTAAGTATCGTATCCTCAGTCAACAAGGGCAAGTACAAGTCAAGCTGAACTTACACTGAGTGAGGAATCTGTGCCATATAGGGATCAGAATATTTATGCATAGTGGACATAAATGCAGCAAGCACTTAGCATACCCTAGTAACTGCAAAGCTGCACACTACAAAATAAAAACACTGATACCATTAAATAGAAGCATTCTGGCAGCCAGGCACAGCATATTATTTTTGCATGGGCAGGACCTTTTCAATGTTTCTGAATAATTTGGAAAAGAAGATTGAGATGTTGATATCTGGTCTTTTAATGAGATCCCAGAGGTTTGTCCCCTATTGAAATGGTGCTTTCCATTCTGGTTTTTTTGAAAACGTCCCTAAATCTTAGCACATGTCTAAATAATGGACATGCATGAGTGGTCTCTACTCATTCTGCAAGAAGAGTGCGAAGGGGGATGATTGTTTGTGATGTTAGTGATTATAGTTTTTCAAGTGTCATTTACAGGAAAGAGTCTTGTACAGTATGTAGGGCTGCATAATAATTTTTGTGCTTTTATTAATTAAGAGAACATTAAATCTTTGGAGGGTTTATTTTACCTCGTCTGTTTTCCAGATTTATTATATTGATCATACATTATACTTTGTCTACATCACAGGTGTCAAGCTCAGTTTCTGGAGGACAGCAGCTCTGCACAGTTTAGTTCCAGCCCTAATTAAACACACCTGATCATACTAATTAAATCCTTCAGGCTTGTTTGAAACCTACAGGTGAGTGTGTTGGAGCAGGGTTGGAACTAAACTCTGCAGGGCAGGTTTGACACCCCCTGGTCTATATTATGAAAACTGGTATAATTTTAAGTAGCCTCCTGCAAAAGCTGATACAGTTTCTAATAGTAATGCCAATAATTCCAAATTATATTCAAGTTTACTTATAATTGTAGCACAAAAATAGATGCATAAGCAAATTTATTTAGAGGATAGTCAAGATTAATGTTTGGATTTATGGCATTAATTACAGATGAACTATCTGCAAAAAGCACCAACGGCTTTGTGAAGTTACAAATACTGACTGTATATCACTGTAATTTGAGCAGAGGACTGCAGTGAAGACTGCTAAACTCTAGTGACCATCATTCATTCAGTTGGAAAGTAAATTCAGTAGGAAAAATTCAGTAGGAAAAGGTAAATAAAACTTGTGCTTATGCTTTTTAAAATCTCAAAGAAAGAAGATATTTTCAGAACAATTAAACAGAAGGTCAAAATTATGATTCTTAATCAAGACAAGCTGAAATACAGATCACAGTTACAGAATAGTTTTTTATATGATCTGTGAAAAGGGGCAATGGTTTGCGATTAATCTGAACATGTTCTTCAGGTCAGCATAGATGCGCTGAGACAGCTGGATTATGATCTGTTTGAGATGTACATCGAGAAGAAGTCTGATCCTATCGTCGGCTCTCTGGAAACCGGGATCTACGCAGGTTATTTTGACTGGAAAGACTGCCTGCTTCCTACAGGTATCGTGTTTTCTGGATGCTGACAGCACTCTGTGGATGTTTCTCGAAGTTTACATTTGCTATTTGAATGTTAAAAGTGCACCACCTTGAAGATGGTACTAATAGAGAAACATCCACACGTTAGCTGTTCTTGATTCTGCAGTTTCAGTGTGTTGTCATTGCTTTTGTGTCAGAGTTTCAGTCGTGGTTGTGTGCCTGTGTGTATATTTAGTTTTTGTGGTGCAGACTTGAATTCTATTGGCTGCTAAATCATTTGGGTATTGCAAGAGCGTTTCCTGCTTCTGAGTTGTTATATGAAGAACTTGGTGATCTGTGCAAAATCAACCATTTTTCTTTCACCACTGCTCATGTTTAGTTCTGATCACTGATCCGTTTGAAAAACATATTTATCTCCGAAATATAAAAATATAATGCACTGGCATGAACTAATGTCACCGCTGTTCATCAGAGTTTTTTAATATGGATGTATTTAACAAGAGATGGTAAATATGTTTATAATTCTACAAATGATGTCTATTTGAGATGATTTTAGTTCTTTTCAAGGTTATACCCTGAACAATGATGTATTACCACAAAAATATTGAGCATCGCACTTGTTTTAAAAATGTTAAATGATAAAAAAATTGGCAAGTATGCAATAAAATAATATTATAGACAGACTGACAGACAGACCCACTGGCCACTTTATTAAGTACACCTTACTAGTACCATGTTGGAGCCCCTTTTGCCTTCAGAACTGCCTTAATCCTTCGTGGCATAGATTCAATAATGTACTTGATATATTCCTCAGAGATTTTGGTCCATTTTGACATGATAGCACCACGCAGTTGCTGCAGTTTTGCCTTCTGCACATCTATGATATGAATCTCCAATTCCATCACATCCCAAAGGTGCTCTATTGGATTGAGATCTGGTGACTGTGAAGGCCATTTGAGTATAGTGAACGTTTTGTCATGTACAAGAAACCAGTGTAAAATGATTCGTGCTTTATGACATTTCGTATTATTCTGCTGGAAGTAGCCATCAGAAGATGAGTAAACTGTGGTCATAAAGGGACGGACATGGTCAGCAACAATACTCAGGTAGGCTGTGGCAGTGACACAATGCTCAATTGGTACTAATGGGTCCAAAGTGTCCCAAGAAAGTATCCTTACACCATTACACCACCAGCCTGAACCGTTGATACAAGGCAGGACGGATCCATGCTTTCATGTTGTTGATGCCAAATTATGACCCTACCATCTAATGCTGCAGCAGAAATCAAGACTCGTTAGGCAACGTTTTTCCAATCTTCTATTGTCCAATTTTGGTGAGCCTGTGCAAATGTAAGTTTCCTGTTCTTAACTGACAGGAGGGGCACCTAGTGTGGTCTTCTGCTGCTGTAGCCCACCTGCCTCAAGGTTGGACGCGTTGTGCATTTAGAGATGCTCTTCTGCATACCTCGGTAGTGACGAGAGGTTATTTAAGTTACTGTTGCCTTTCTATCAGCTCAAACCAGTCTGGCCATTCTCCTCTGACCTCTGGCATCAACAAGGCATTTGAGGCAACAGAACTGCTGCACACTGGATATTTTTCCCTTTTTCTGACAATTCTCTGTAAACCCTAGAGATGGTTGTGCGTGAAAATCCTAGTAGATCTGCAGTTTCTGAAATACTTAGACCAGCCCATCTAGCACCAACAACCATGACATGTTTAAAGAAATTTGTTTTAACAAGCAGTTGGACAGGTGTACATAATGAAGTGGATGGATGGATGGATTGACTTTTTTATGTAAGTGGTGAACGGTACACTTCCACTAAGCCTAGAACTCATCAGCCAGTGTCTTCATTTCTCCAGATCAGTTTATTAATATTGAAATTAAGTAATTAATATACATGAAACATGCACAAACATGAAGCTTCTCTGTATGTCCTAAATGAATTAACTCATTGATCAACCTTTTCCCATTTTTTTTTCTCTCTTTCTGACTCAGGCGTGAGGAGTTATTTGAAGGAGGCTTTGGTCAGCATCATCTCTGTTCATGCTGAGGTGAGAGAACAAACCCTTCTGTAAAAGATGACTTTTTAGACCTTACTCCAGAAAAAAGGCACATGTTCTATTCAAAACTCTAGAGAGCTGTTTACAGCATTTAAAGGATATGCAAACTATGCTTTCTGGAAAATTATTTCATCAGACTTGGCATAAAAAAAGCATATAAATCAACTGTAAATGTACACCACAGTTCAACATTTTTTTTTTAAAAAGTAAAGTTTTGCTCACTAAGCTGCAGAAGTACAAATTAAAATACATTTTTAATTTTAAAATACTCTATTATGTAACTAATTCTTCATTTATTTGTAGCATAGGTCAACATAGATTTTCTGTATTCTTCTGTTTTTGCCCAGGTTTTCACAGTTTCCAAGGAGCTGGTTTCTCGTGTTCTTTCAAAGATCATCGAGGCTGTAGCAGAAGAAATGAGTCGCCTCATGCAGTGTGTGTCTTCTTTTAGTAAAAATGGTGCCTTGCAGGTATGGTAGCATCCTTCACATACACAATAAGCATTTGATCTGAAAATACTAAAATTGACATTACCCTTTTTATATTACTCTCTCGAGGCGCGTCTGGAGATCTGTGCTTTGCGAGATGCTATAGAGCCCTATCTCTCATCAGAGAGCTGGTAAGACATGCGACTGCAATGAGAAATTTAAACAGAAAAGGTGAAAACTGTTAGTATGTTAATGCTCATGATCTTTTCATTTGTGTCTCAGCACTAGTTTTAAGCAGGCATTGGAAGCGCTTCCACAGCTACAGAGTGGAGCTGACAAAAAGTAAGTTACACTTCAGTATAGTTACAAACATGACTGAAACCTTGACACTGATAACACAAAACTATTTAATATTTAATACTAACTGCTATTAGAGATTATTAGAAATGGGGATGATGATTATTAAAACCATTTAATTGTGATAATTTAGGAATGACTTTATTATGCAGATTGGTGCTCTAGAAATCAAAAGTTGAAAATGGTTTTGCTGCTTATTTTTTCTGGAAATTCTCTGATTAAATGTTACTGTATCTTTTGATCAATAAGAGAGTTTACAAGTACAGCATTTGACGTTTTTTTAAACATTATAACCATTATTACTATCAATTTAATGTGTTTTTTCTGAACTCAATCCTCGTGACCTCAAAATTTCAAGTGGTTATGTTTATTTTTAAATAATAACATTTGTGGAGGGGTAGTGAAAATGCAAGGGCAAGTTAAAATGATAACTGTCAGGTTGGCTGGGCCAACACATCTTTACATTTAGCCAAAACTGAAGATTACAAATTACGCTTGATTTTAAACCAGCCAGTAGTGCATCAGTAGAATCAGATCATACGTCTACACAAATCAATTTTGGTTTTATCCTGGAACATTACTTAGAATTGAGTATTTTGTGTTTACCAGAGTGTTTTTTAATATCTCTTTTCTACATGTATCTCTTTCTCTTTTCTCAGACTCTTGGAGGAGCTACTGAATAAGTTTAAGAGCAGTATGAAGCTGCAGCTAAATTGCTTCAAGCCTGCCTCATTTCAGCCTGTAAAGCGATAAACCTTCACAAAGCGCCAACATTTCAATTACTCTTTTGCATTGTAACACTAAGAAACCATTTCAATTTTAAAAACCATTAAAAGCCAATTTAGTGCCACTAAAATAGCTTTTTCCTTTCAGAATAATTAACTTGACCAGTTGTACTGCCTCTTCATTCACCTTAATGATCACAGTTTTGGTTTAAACTAAAATAAATTCATGTATGCTTACACTGAGTGGGTTTTTAATGTACATTAATGTGCAAGAAATGTGCCAGGATTCTGTTTTTGTGTTCGTGTCAAAGGGATAGAAATTTGCAGAGTTTTGCATTTTGTGGATGATACGGTTGAGTTCAGAAATGACTCTTGTCTTCTTTTTTCAAAAGAGTCGTTTCTCTTGAAGTCTATTATGACCACTGATGCATGCACACACCCTGTCTGGTGTCAGATGGAAAGAAACACACCCTGCCACCTTGAGGAAGTGTTTAATGCTGGGAGGTGGCCTTCACTCAAAGAGCACTGGCATGTGGTTTGGGAGTTAAAGAAATAACTGATTAGAACACACGCTAGACACTGAGTTAATATGATTTTTTTATTTAACCTTTATTTTATTATATAGGCTTTTTGTGCTAGTAAACAATCTGTAAAGTTACAAAGCACAAAGTCTTCAAAAAAGGTATTTAACCTCTTCAATAGAAATCACTTACCTGAAGCTTCTTGTTTGTTGCTCTGCCATTATGTAGAGCAGGGGTGTCCAACCCTGTTCCTGGAGATCTACTTTCTTGCAAATTTCAGTTGCAACTCATATCAAATACACCTGCCTGCGATTATCAAGTACTATTCAGATGCTGATTAATTAGTTGAGTTGTGTTTGATCAGGGTTGGAGCTTAACTCTGCAGAAAGGTAGATCTCCAGGAACAGGATTGAACACCCCTGATGAAGTGACTTAGATGATAACATCTTACGCAATTGCATGTTTGAGTCAGATTCATGGGAGACAGTCAAAATATCAAGCATTCTAAAGACCAGAATAAATCAGCCGCTGAAGACCTCATCCAGCATCTCTTGCATGGACAAAGGGTGCACTTGCAAGGCCACTTTAGCATTAGTTGCTTAGTGTGCCTCTGAGGCCTACTGATACAAATCTTTCTTGCTGATCTCTGTTTCACTCAATCCTACTAGGATCATGGCAGCAGTTTAAGCCCTGCGGTTGTACCCGTCTACTCAGAAGGGGATTAGAGTTGGTGTCTTTGGCATGGGAGGCAAACACCACAATCTCTTGAATTAGTTGCTAGAGCACCTCTTAAAGGCCAGTGGAGTGAAGCAAATTCCCTTAAAAGCTAGTCATTTCCCTTGGCGGCCATCTTTGAAACAACTCTCGGGCAGTTTGCTCAGGCATTCTGTCTGAAAGGAAAAACATCAAATTCTACCAAAAATGTTTGCCAAGTGTACGATTACATTGCATGTTTGGAATCACCAATAAAATTAAACAACAACTGTTTCATAAGTTACGTTTCTGAACGTCCGAATCAAACAAGATCTGCATATTTTCAGGTTGCCCTAATGCGCGTGCACACTCAACCTCATTTTGTGGCGTATTGAGTAGTTGCTGTCATGTGATGTGCGTTTGACAGGACAAACTCTACCTTGCGTTTGTCATATAGATTACAAAACCAGAAAAATCTTTCGTTTTCAAGTGCACTTGGTTCATTTAAAAGTACAGATTTCAAGCTCTATGTGGATATATTTCTTATGTCTTTGAAGCAAGTATTCACTGAGATTGCAGTGTTTGCTGACCACCAAATTGCCGTAAAAGCACACGTCTGGTCCTATAGCGATCGGTTATTGGCTCCTGTTCCAGTAGGCAGGGCTTCATTCGCCATATTGACAGTTACACTTTTCCCCATTCAGAACTATATGAGTGACATGTCTTGTGTATTTTATGGTTTTTGAGTGAGGCGTAACTCTGCAGGTCTTAATAGATGGCCTCTGTAACAATCACTCCCATCCGGGTCACGGCACCAATATAACTCCTTTGGTTGCACTTACTCCTCTGTTCTAGCTTGTTTTCACCAATTGTAGATTCTGGATCTGTGCTTTTGAGATTGTGGAATGTCTGATAAGCTGATGATTTGTGGGTATCTCTCTGTGTTTGGGCTGAAAAAAATAATTATCAGGTAAAGCAGAAAAAAAGATGTGTTGCAGCAATGTCCTGAATGCAGTTATTTTCCTGAACTTTAAATCATGTAATCACTACCAAAAATATATTTCTCATATGTATCTGCATTGATTTTAAAAATAACTATGTTTGTGTTGGAATGCATTGGACATCCTGAGAAAATGTGTAAGCTCACACAAACAAAATTTCTTCGAGTTTTCCACTGTTTACAGGCTCACGGCTTTACATTAACACATAAACATGTTTTGGATCATTTTCCGCTGCCTACAGAGCGGAAAGGTGCAATCATTAAAAACTTCCCTTAAGCTGTAGAGCCTGACATCAATACACCCACCTTTTCACCTAGTGCCACGCAGGCTTTGATGCTACTCTGTCAAACAGCTTCCCTTAAATGAGTGGGTGTTAGGCACTCTAAATTTAGAAAGAATAGAAATCAACAAACAAGACACTGACTGTTGGGAAAAGCTGTGTACAGTATCCATCATCTCACTGCACTTTTGCAGGTTTACACAAGTACTGTACTTGTAAGCTGCAATCACAGAGGTAGAGTTATGAAGCTTTTAAGACACCATTCTTCAACTGTCTCCAAGAGATTGTGAAGTTCTCACTTTGAGCTTATTTACAAGTTTGTCGTTCTTTATGGTACACAGCATTGTTAAAAACAGCCAATGAGGTAAACAGGTTGTTTTCATTGAGAATGAAGGAAAAAAAATAAATGCTTCTGTCAGTCTGCCTTTTCCTTTGTGATGTCATCAAATTGAGACTGCCCGCATCATCCTGTCTCTAAAACCACAAACACCATCCTGTGTGTCTCTGCTGTCATTCACATACACACCCTGTCTATAATATCAGCAGAAAACATTCTGCTTCTGTTGAATGTCATTGTGGGCATGATGTCCCCTCAAGTTCATGGGGATTCCAGTGTTTGTAGTGGGGGCTGAAGGTGGTCCCCTCATGCCATTTGGCTAAGCTTAGGTAAGCACAGTTGGCCCACCACTGATGCCACAGTTAGCCCACTAATGATGGAGAGACACGCACGAGTGACGTCCACTGATGTTTGTTCAGACAGAATCCTCTCAACAAAAAGATCATAAAACAATGATTGTTGCAAAAAAAGATGGGAAATAAAAGTTATATTTTGTAGTAGATAAACAACATCACACTAGTCTTTCATAGACATCACTAGTCTCTCACAGGTCCTCACTAGTCTTTCAAAGGTCATCACTAGTCTCTCACAGGTCATCACTAGTCTTTCAAAGGTCATCACTAGTCTCTCACAGGTCATCACTAGTCTCTCACAGGTCCTCACTAGTCTTTCACAGTTCCTCACTAGTCCATCACTAGTCTTTCACAGGTCATCACTAGTCTCTCAAAGGTCATCACTAGTCTTTCACAGGTCATCACTAGTCTCTCACAGGACATCACTAGTCTTTCACATAGTCCATCACTAGTCTTTCACAGGTCATCACTAGTCTTTCACAGACATCACTAGTCTTTCACAGACATCACTAGTCTCTCAAAGGTCATCACTAGTCTCTCACAGGTAATCACTAGTCTCTCACAGGTCCTCACTAGTCTTTCACAGTTCCTCACTAGTCCATCACTAGTCTTTCACAGGTCATCACTAGTCTCTCAAAGGTCATCACTAGTCTTTCACAGGTCATCACTAGTCTCTCACAGGACATCACTAGTCTTTCACATAGTCCATCACTAGTCTTTCACAGGTCATCACTAGTCTTTCACAGACATCACTAGCCTCTTACGGTACATCACTAGTCTTTCACAGTCATCACTAGTCTTTCACAGACATCACTAGTCTCTCAAAGGTCATCACTAGTCTCTCACAGGTAATCACTAGTCTTTCACAGGTCATCACTAGTCTTTCACAGTTCCTCACTAGTCCATCACTAGTCTTTCACAGGTCATCACTAGTCTTTCACAGACATCAATAGCCTCTCACGGTTCATCACTACTCTTTCACAGGTCATCACTAGTCTTTCAGCGGTCATCACTAGTCTCTCACAGGTCATCACTAGTCTCTCACAGGTCTTCACTAGTCTTTCACAGTTCATCACTAGTCTTTCACAGACATTACTAGTCTTTCACAGGTCATCACTAGTCTTTTACAGTTCCTCACTAGTCCATCACTACTCTTTCACAGGTCATCACTAGTCTTTCATAGACATTACTAGTTTTTCACAGGTCATCACTAGTCTTTCATAGACATCACTAGTCTTTCACAGGTCATCACTAATCTCTCACAGACATCACTAGCTTCTCACGGTTCTTCACTAGTCTTTCACAGACATCACTAGTCTATCACGGGTCATCACTAGTCTTTCAAAGGTCATCACTAGTCTCTCAAAGGTCATCATTAGTCTCTCACAGACATCACTAGTCTCTCACAGGTCATCACTAGTCTCTCACAGGTCATCACTAGTCTCTCAAAGGTCATCACTAGTCTCTCACAGGTCATCACTAGTCTGTCACAGGTCATCACTAGTCTCTCACAGGTCATCACTAGTCTCTCACAGGTCATCTCTAGTCTTTCACAGTTCCTCACTATTCCATCACTAGTCTTTCACAGGTCATCACTAGTCTTTCACAGACATCACTAGTCTTTCACAGATAATCACTAGTCTTTCACAGACATCACTAGTCTTTCACAGGTAATCACTAGTCTTTCACAGACATCACTAGTCTTTCACGGGTCATTACTAATCTCTCACAGACATCACTAGCCTCTCACGGTTCATCACTAGTCTCTCACGGGTCATCACTAGTCTCTTACGGGTCATCACTAGTCTTTCAAAGGTCCACTAGTCTCTCAAAGGTCATCACTATTCTCTCACAGGTCATCACTAGTCTCTCACAGACATCACTAGTCTCTCACGGGTCATCACTAGTCTTTCACAGACATCACTAGTCTCTCACTAATCTTATCACTAGTCTCTCAGGTTATCACTAGTCTCTCACAGGTCATCACTAATCTCACGTTAGCATTAGTCTCTCACATGTTTTCACTAGTCTCTCACGTTATCACTAGTCTCTCACATGTTTTCACTAGTCTCTCATGTTATCACTAGTCTCACACCAGTCACCACTAGTCTTTCACTGGACATCACTAGTCTCTCACAGATCATCACTAGTCTCCTTTTATCACTAGTCTATTACATTTTATCACTAGTCTCTTTTACAGATCATCACTAATCTTACATTATCACTAGTCTCTCACAGGTCATCACTAGTCTCTCACAGGTCATCGCTAATCTCACATTATCACTAGTCTCTTACATGTTTTGACTAGTCTCACGTTATCACTAGTTTCTCACAGGTCATCACTAGTATCTCACATGTTTTCACTAGTCTCTTACATGTTTTCACTAGTCTCTCACGTTATCACTAGTCTCTCACAGGTCATCACTAGTCTCACGTTTTCAGTAGTCTCTCACATACGTCACTAGTTTCTCATAGGGTCTTCACTAGCCTCTTGTCTGCTCTGATCTGCCTGTTTTATGTGTAATGGGATTTGTTGTCCTGTATTGAAATTGCAGTCTGATTGACGTTGCTGAAGAAGCTTTTGATAAACCTTTGCTTTCATTCTGCATGCAGCTGAATAAGAGGCCCATGCCACTTCCTCCACCATCTTCCATTGACCTCTTTATGCATTTTCGGTTCTTTTTTGTCAGTTTGACAACAAACATAATGTTTCTTATCAGACTGAAAATAAATGAAACTTTTGGACTAGTTCTTGGTCTACATAAAGCACAGATTAGTCTCACCGAGAAAGATTCTTACCTTGTTCAATGCTGAACTGGCCTGCAGCTGCAGAGATGAATTGATTGTCCATTGCGGTTTAAAACACCATATGAGAAAACTGAATATTTAAACTGCCTGGCTATTCACATTATTGAGAATTAATATTAATAATTAAGGAGATAACCACATGTTGCCAGATTAACACCAAAAACTGGAATGAATGGAAATCTGGAAGTGTTTTATATATATCCGGCCACTTTATTAGGTACACCTGTCCAACTGCTCGTTAGCTCAATTTTTTAAATCAGCCAATCACATGGTAGCAACTCAATGCATTTAGGCATGTAAACATGGTCAAGATGATCTGCTGAAGTTCATACTGAGCATCAGAATGGGACAATTGAAGACTGTCACCAAAATTGGACAATAGAAGATTGGAAAAAAGTTGCCTGGTTTGGTGAGTCGATTTCTGCTGCAGCATTAGATGGCAGGGTCAGAATTTGGCATCAACAGTATGAAAGCATGGAGCCATCCTGCCTTGTATCAATAGTTCAGGCTGGTGGGGGTGGTGGTATAATGGTCTAAGGGCTATTTTTGGACACAGTTTTGGCCCATTAGTACCAACTGAGCATCGTGTCAACACCACAGCCTACCTGAGTTTTGTTGCTGATCATGTCCGTCCCTTTATGACCACAGTGTACCCATCTTCTGATGGCTACTTCCAGCAAAATAACACACCATTTTGTAAAGTGCCAATCATCTTAGACTGGTTTCTTGTACATGACAATGAGTTCACTGTACTCAAATGGCCTTCACATTCAACAGAATTCAATCCAATAGAGCACCTTTGGGATGTGGTGGAATTGGAGATTTGCATCATGAATGTGCTGCCAACAAATCTGCAGCAACTGTGGATGCTCTCATGTCAATATAAATCAAAATCTTGGCAGAATATTTAGTATTTATCTAGTACCTTGCTGAATTTATGCAACGAAGAATTAGGCAGTTTTGAAGGCAAAAGGGGGTCCAATACCGGTACTAGTAAGGTGCACCTAATAAAGTGGCCGATAAGTGTATATATACTTCAGAATAATTTCATTAGTTAAAATGCATAAAAAACTGCCTTTCCATTGCTGCTGTAATAAACACTAAGCAATCATTTTAGAAATTGTAGCTTGCTCTCTAGTTTGATTTTATTTGTGTGTGAATGAAGAGTTTATTTGCAAAAACTTATATTGTACATTGAAGAGAAAACTTGCAAAAAATATATATTTATACAAATAGGTAGAACCAGAGCTTTTAGCAGTTTTCAGAAATCATTTATTTACATTGACTATAAAAAAGTTAAATTGCCTATATTCTAAAAACAATGATTAACGGGTTTTGCAAAAACTCTTAATTTATATACATCTATTTACTGACCTTAAAATTAAAGTCAATAACCAGTACACTCTTTTTAAATAGGTTTTTGCACTGTTTTTATTAAAACCAAAAGCGACACCAAATTTGACCTATTTTATCTCAATAGCAAAAAAACAGCAAAAGTAGTGGAATAAAGAGTAAAACAAGTATTATACAGACTAAGCTATCAAAAAGAGCTGCCTTATGAAAACTTTTGTCAACTTTCTAAACTCATAAGCTATATACATCAAAATCTTTGGCTTTTACATTCTGAATGCAGTACATTGAGCCAGTCAAAGCTAATATTCACACTTTACATTCTCTTGTCATGTCAGCAAACAAGTAACACATTTAACGGTAATAAAGACACGATACATTCATAGTACTGTACAAAAGATTTGCATCTTTTCAGTAGTAAACAATACACAACTTGTCTGAATGTCTCGTTAGCACTAGATTATTCTGGAGGGATTCTGCCCAGTTCAGGTGTCCTGAAGCTTAGCAGAGTTATAACATATGCCATAACAATTTAGCTTAAAAAAAAGTCAAGTTTAGAGATTCCATATTGTAAATATTGAAACCCTGAGATCACAACCTCATTTGCATATTGATTAAACAAGAAAGGCACCTGGTGTTGATAACTGCTTGTCCATCATCTGTTCATAAACAGGATTTCATAACCCTAGGTTAAAAAGTGGTGCAAACCCACTTTCAAATTTATAAGTAGCTTAAAATTATTGTTCACCTCAAGTTTTTCACCTCGTACGATATGCTTTAAGACATAAAGCCATATATCTGCGGAAATGGCTCTCCAACTGGTCTTCCAACTGAACCTGTTTTTTCCCTAAAGGTTTGTTCTCCATTTCTGTCAAGTGGTGGAGTTTTAGTTTCTACCCACGATCTATGTTTCCATTCAAAGACGCGAGTTAGATTTAAACGTAAAACTGGAATATCACATAAAACATTAAAGCGAGTTATTAGCAAATAAAGCACGTTTCCTTCCAATGAGTGAAAGAGAACAAAATCATCCCCCTGATAAACTAGTGCCAATTATCAAAAGTAATTATTTATTTTGCTGAATTGAGAGTAGGTACTCTCAGCCTTTTTTTTTCGAATATAATAACTTATTTGCACCTCAAAAGACAAAGAAGAAATAAGCTGTGGCTTTACAAGGAGTGAGACCGCTAACACGCGTTTTTTCTTTCTTTTAGGATAAAACGTTTTGTCTGATCATCCATTTTTAATGCACATTTTCAATATGCTTGCGCTTCTTGGCATTTCCAATATTTGTTATGCACTTTTCCAAAATGTGCATAAAAAGAGGTGGATAGAAACATAGATACTGTCACCTTTGGCTTGCTTTATTTTAATTTGCATCGAACTGAACTGAATCATCAGCGAATTCCTTAGAACTAAACCAGCATAGTTTGGAACTGAAATCGTCAAATGAACTGAATTGGACTTGACATATTGATAAACAAACACTGACAAAACTTCATAGCCCATTTGTCACTGCAAAGCTGCTTTGACAATTTGCATTGCACAAAGTGCTATACACTAAAAATAAATGTGACTTGACCATACAGCAGAAGTTATTGAGCTCAAGTGTCATTCGCTTCTCAGTATTCTTCAAAATGTCTACTTGTATGTTCCACAGAAGGAAAAGGGTGAAGGTGAAGTCAGCCTTTAACCCAGGATTAAAACTTGCTTTATCCCAGGGTTAAACTCAAGGTTTAGCGGGTCAGTTTTGCGGGCCGCTGTTGTGGTGGTGTGTGATGACCCTGTGGTAGTCTTGGGTGGGTGAAAGGCTGTGTTCAGGTGGCAGGTGCTGGAGCTCATGGCTGCGGATGTAGTTCATGCTGCCCGGGTGAGTGAGGATCAGAAGCTGGCGAGCGAACAGTGGCTCAACCTGTGACACAATGAATAAACAAGTAAGTTTACATAAAATTGTTGTGTTTTGTAATAATTATTAATCAGTTTTTACAGAAGCATAAACAGAAGAATGTCAGACGTCCAGGATTAAAAGACGCACCTGCACTGTGTAGGTCCTTCTTGGTCTTTGACCCTCAGTGCTTTCATCCTCAAAGAACAGCAACACTTGGGAACACGGCGCAGGACGGGCGTGAAGAGTGTAGCTCTGCAACTCTGTGAGGGAAAACAACAAGGAGACGTTTTATTCACAGTCAGCTACGGGTGAGGTCAGAAAAAACATGCTAGAAAGAAGAAAGGCAATAACTGTGATCTAGAGTGGAGATCTACAATGTCATTGAAACAGTTGAAAGTTGGTTTGCTTTTGAAAGATGTCTTTTGTTACTTGAGTAATTACATTATTATTATCATCAGGGTGTCCGCGTGGTCTTAAAGTATTAAAAGTTGATAAATCATTTATGAGAAAATTAAGGCCCTTAAAAGGCCTTTATTTAAAAATCTTAATCACGTTTTTATGAGGTCTTAAATTTAGTTCAAGCGTTGTCCAATGTGTTTGACTGTATAGTGTTTGAAAGAGAATTATTTTCCTTCTAACATTAACAACGGTGTGCTCAATCCACGAGATTGGTTTGGGTCGGGGATTGTTTGGCCAAGCTTCTCCATCCGGGTGATGTCACGTAATTTGTGACAAAGGCAGGAAGGTGATGTGTCGCTCTCCACATGTAGCGAAACCATAGAGTGAAACAGCTGGCAAAATGGGAAAATGTAAGTTTAAACATGGCCTGAAGCCTGTCGCTGAATACAACCGCGTAATTTATTCTTTCAAGCTTTGATTCTTCCGAGCTTATTTGGTTTCTGTTGAATGGTTGTGCTTCATTGATTTATTGTACTACACCTGTTTTTTAACTGTTTATAATGTAAAGGTTTGATACTGATTAGAACTAGATTAAAAGGTCTTTAAAAAGTCTTAAGTAAAACCTTTAGAATTTGTGCATATACCCTGTATTACAATATAAATAGCTATTCTCTATTTGATTATATTTAGAAATGTCCAAACTGAATCTTCAGCTTCATTATTGCATCATTTAGTGTAACCTGATTTTTAAATATAAAGTCTAATATAGTGATTTGTTGTTCAAGAAACATTTGAATGTTGAAAACAGTTTGGATCATTATTTTTATGGAAAACTTTTATGGTGCCAAATAAATATGTTTATAAAAAGCAAACCACTGCTTTAGCATAGACCTGTAAATAAAATTTCTAACTTAAACTGCTGGAGAACAGACTTAAGGTTGTGAGTTCTAGAAGTTTATTGTTACACTGTAAAAAAAAAAATTATTTTAAAAAGGTATATTACTTAAAAAAGAAAAAAGTGAGTAAGGCTTTTGCCTAAAAAGCAACAAGTTGACTTTACTCAGTGAGTAAACCCGTTGTTACTTGGAACTGTTATGTTGACTTAATTTTAATTTTTAATTATGCACATAGTTCATTTAATGAACTATTCTAAGGAAATGAGTGTACTTTCAAATGTTACCACAGATAAAATGTGACTAATTTTGCTTTGCAACTTAACCTTTTCATATCACATCCATGATTATTTAAACGTGTGGAAGTACAACATTAAAAGTAAAAAATGAGCAATCAGCACCAGAGTGTGCCCACAATACAACATCTTACTCAGTATTTATCTTTATCTTCCAATTAAAGGTCGATTGAAATTACCAGTTTAAGGAGTCATCAAAAAACCTCAATGTTTTGCTGTGCTTGTCATAGTGTATTACTCAATTGTAAATGTCTCATAACTGAAATTTTTTTTTTCAGACTACACATGTATTTTGTTTTCTTTCCATACTTTGAGCTTCATGTTTATTATGGCACATGTGACTTGTGTGGCATTTGAGTGGTGTTCATCATCTGCTGGAAAACGAGCTTCAAAACACTCAATGAATTTGTGATGGGTGGTGGGCGCGAGCTAGTAGTAAATCAGATGACTGACGCTGCGACTCTCACTAAATGGCAAGCCACAAATGTTATGACACACTATTTACTGTAAAAGCTTTCTGACGTGTTTGTTTACTGTAAAGCTTGTTTATCTTTGGAGATGGGCAAACAAGATGATGCATACAAATAATGAATTTATTAGACCGAAGAATTACAGTTTCAAATAATTGACAGTCATTTCTTACGAAGAACAATGAGTGATTTAGTAGCCTGTTCTGTTTTCACTTAAAGGGATTGTTCACCCATACATATTGAAATATACATAGTGAAAATGTCCAAACCTTTGTGAGTTTCTTTCATCAGTCGAACACAAACTAAGATATTATGAAGGATGTTGCACACTGGTAGCCATTGATATACATAGTAGGAATGAAAAATAGTATGGAAGTCGATGGCCACCAGTTTCCAACATTTTTTAAAATACCTTTATGTTCAACAGAAGAAAGAAACTCAGTCTGTTTTAGAGTAAATGGATTGTGAGTAAATTATGACAGAATTAAAATGTTTGGAACTGCCTTCAGATCATGTGGTTCATAATTGTCGTAATCATGAATGTATCATTCTAGTCACCTGTGATGAAGAGGTGAGTGTCCAGCAGTTTGCAGTTCTGCTCTCGCTCCAGCTTGTTGGGTTTGTCTGTCGGTGGTGCGTGAGCTCCTGTCCAGTACACCCTGCAGGGGCAGCATCGGCGGGCGTAGAGCCCATCAGGAGCCATCCAGAGAATAACGCCCCGCTCCAGAGGCACCCCATCAGCATGAGGCAGTTCAACCAGTTCTGGAGCCCCAGGTGAGGCGTAGGCCTGTCCCTCTCTGCTGGGGCCCAGCTGACAGCCCTCAGGACTGCTCACGGTCACCTCTCGCACCAGCGCGTCTCGGTAAAACACCATCACATGCAGGCGATAATCTAATCAAAAGGAAGACACAATTTAAATAATTTCAAAATGGCCTATTGAACTAGTGAGTTTAAAATATTAAAATCATAATGTGAGCCTTTGCTGGGAAATAATTTGGACTACTGTTTTGATATTCCCCTCATCTACCTCTCATTTAGTCTGTTTGAACTCCGCCTGTTTTTTTTTACCCGACTGAAACATTCACATCTGCAATTCAGATTCCATCTAAACAACAATTAAAGCTACTAAGTCCCGCCCTCCGCTGCATAAAACAAATGCTGGATAAGTTGGCGGTTCATTCCACTGTGGCAACCCCTGATTATTAAAGGGACTAAGCTGGAAAGAAAATGAATGAATGAATTTGCTAATACAGTACGTCACAATTTAGCAAAACAAATCAATCAAGTAGGGTCTTTCTGCGGACTGCAAGACAGTGGCGTAACTTATAGTATGTTATAGAGGCGTAACTTACAGGGGCGTAAGCGGAGACCTATGTCAAAACTATGTTGTCGGCCAGATGGCGCTGTACATCAGCTATTAACAATCTACACCTAATCCACACCTAAACCCAATCATCACAGTTATGCACGTCTACACCTTCCCTAAACCTTAACCCAACCATCACAGCTATTAATGTCTACAACTACCCCAACCATCATAGTTATTAATGTGTAAAACTACCCCAACCCTTAACCCAACCATCACAATTATTAACGTCTACACCTTCTCCAACCCTTAACCCAACCATCACAGTTATTAACCTCTACACCTTCCCCAACCCTAAACCCAACTCGTCAAAGGTTTTAACGTACAGCCGCGAGATGCTGAGGCTTTCATACTTGACAAGCTCGCCGTTGTACTGTTATTTGCAACCACAGGGGGCGATGCTGAGTAGGCTTAGTTGCATGGTGGAGTTGCTAAATGAATAAATATATATATATCAAATGAGTTGGTTGGATAAATTGGGAGAAAACTCATGAAAACATTTGGTGAAAATGTTCTCTGTTCCGCCATCTTGCCAACAACATCTCGTTGTGACATCTGGCATGGTTCAATGGGACATTGATAACTGAAAGTTACGCCTCTCTAACTTACCAAAAATTATGCACCTTCATATTACATCCTGCCTTGCAGTTCGCAGACAGATACACTTGGATCTGACGCTAAATCTGCTACATTTGCCCAAGCTTTAAATGTCATTTTTGATATTTTGTTCATTCTGTATTTTAACATTTTGTGATGAATTTTAGTTTTTGGTGTTTTAATCTTCATTCATTTAGACAAAATAGTAATGAATGTTAATGTTGCGTATAATTATTAAGCTTTATAGCTATTAACATTTTGTTGTCATTCTATAAGGAAAATTGTAACACTTATGTTCAATCATATATATCGTCTGCTTTGTTAATATTTAGTTTCAAGGATTTTTGAGGTTTGTTTGTCTCCTACTTTTGTTTTATTATACTTAATTATACTTTGTGTTTTATCTGTGTCATTGTAGTGCAGATTTTTCACAACCTTTTCTCTTTTTAATCACAATACGCAGTATTTTAAATGGATAATTCGCCCACAATGAAAATTCTGGCATCATTTTTTTCACCCTTGCTCCAAACCTGTTTAAGTTTCTCTCTTTTGTTGAACAGATAATAAATATATATGTTCAAAATAGCTGTAAACCTGTAACCATTCACTTTCAAAGTATTTGTTTTTACTTTACAGGTTACAAGTTACAACATTTTTCACAATATCTTATTTTTTGTTTGGAACCAATTGAAGGTGAGTAAATGATGATTTTTTTTTTCTTCATGTGAACTATCCCTTTAGGATCAATTCTAGACTCTTATTTAGCCGTTCAGTATGTCAGCGTGTTTCTGATCACATGCATTTGTAATACAGTACCTGAGAGTGCCATGGCCTCAGCAGACCTCATGCTGGTGTCCAGAGTGAAGGGTGACGGCTGTGGATCAGATGCATTACAGCTGTAGAAGGAGCCACTGAACTGGTAACCTGCACATACACAAATACATCAATGCAATTGCAAGCTGCATGAACTTCCTTATAGTTTCTCTCAAAAACACACTGTACCAGGGTCCCAGCGTGAAGTGTACGGGCTCTGGCTGTACGAGATGTCAGAGAGGGTGGGATACTCCCTCCATCCTCTTTCTGCTGGAGAAATGTAGTTGCACACCTGTAGTGACAAGCACATATGGTGAGTGATCCAAAACACAAACAAACCAAAGGAGGAGTTAAAATGTTGTTTAGTTCTAACCTGAGATGGTGCTGGTGCATAAGTTGGATGCATTGGATAATTGGGAGAGCCTGAGTTAGACTGCGAGTCTTCAATAGATCTGGATCCTGCAACAGTTAAACATTACATTGTTTTTCACTGAGGCTTTACTCTGCTTGATAACCTTCATTGACAGTATTATGAAATATAAAGGTGCTGAATGTTGATTTTCAGAGTGCAGTTGATTTTTTTTTTGTCTCTTGCCTTTTTTAGATCCTTCCGGGACAATCCTATATACTTTATAGGGGTCCGATATGTCAAGTTGACTGCGCTCCACAATCTCCTCGAAGTCATTACTTTTATTAAGAGCACAACGAAGACGTGTTTTCCAGGTTGGTGGGTCAGGTTTGTCGACCCCTTCACGGAATTTGCCTTTAAACAGAGCCCAAGCCTGCAAAAAAGTAGGATATGTCAATAAATGAGTCCATCAGATGTCCATAAAAAAAGAGAAATATTAGGTTTCAAATTATTTTTGTTTTTTAGTTTTTGTTGATATTTGATTTACAGTTTTAGTGTGTAAACTACTGTACACTTCGTGAAAATGTTTCCTTCCTACCTGATTACACACTTTCAAAACAAACACAATAACAAAAAAAAAAACAAATATGAGCATCAAAAGTGTTTACCTGAGGACAAAATATGTGCTAACTCATTTATATATGTGTCAAATACTATATATTAGACAAATTAATTATATTATAAATGTCCTGTGCAGTTTTTTTCCTGAGAAAAAAAAAATGTAGGCCTATTTCATACATTTACCATAATTAACAGAATATTCTTTGGGCATTTCTTTAGTCAGGGATGTTCATTTAGAACAGATCACAGTGCAGCTCAAAAACAGTAAATTAACATTTTAATTTTTTTTACTTTTCCTCTTAAACTTTAGACCACTAAGTTTTACTAATTTGCCAAAAAATGTCAAACTATACTTAAATATGAGCCTTTATTTATTCAACAGGTCATGTATTGTTTAACTTTTATATCGATAGCATATCTGTTACACTGAATAACATTACAAACTTCCAAGTGGACACTATACTTGAATTTAATATACTTTCTACATATTTAAAAATCGCTTTTGCGAAATTTGATTCAGACACCAAAATCGGGCTCCCCTGCGACCCATGTGCGAACAGAAATATGCAAACAATGCACAACTTAATTCTTCAAGCCAGATACAATATAACTTCAGCTATATAATTATAGATGTATTTAACTTCACGCTGCTAGATAAATATAAAAAGCTGAATTTATAAACATGCTTTGAAAACTATTTATGTGTGTTTTAATAACAAAACCGAGCATCAAGACATGCTTCTCTACACTCTCTGCACCATAACTATTAGAGGAATAATGTGGTAACTTTAATTTTACTGTCCACATGTGTGTTATTACATGCAATTATATTACAGCAAACCTAGTGTTAAAAGTTAATCTTAATCCTTAAATAAAACAAAAATAAAATAAAACAAACTTTCGCATTATTTTTGTTAAGTGAACACGTTTAATTACTTTTTAAGTGACTTTATATTATAATATATCACCTTTTACCAGCTTTTTGGCTGTCAGTTATTTTTACTTTGTTCTTAAATGCACAATTAGCCTATTAGCAGAGTAAGACTGCTGCATGTTTTGTTGCTCATCTCCCTCCACGTTCAGAGTGACTGTACCTTGAAGAGCGCAGCATCCTCGTCCCTGTTGTAGTCCTGTTTGCCCGCGTGCTTCCACGGAATCCGAAAGATGCTCTTCTCGTCGTTCTCCCATACGAGTCCAGGGTATTTTCCAGTGTCCACCTGCTCGATCAGCCACTGGCGCAACTTTCCGTTACCGGAGCTCCCCGTCATCCCGCGCTCTTCATCCGAACACATCTAAAATAAGAAAAGAAAACTTTATCATTCAGCTCGTATCATTATGAAACTAAACGTTCAAACCGAAATGGCAGATAAATGAACAACAAAAATTGCAATAGAGTCTTAAATGAAAAGGTATGCGTACTGCAGAAGGTACAGAAGCGCGTGCTGGTCGTTCTCACAGCTTTCGAGTTTTGAAATGTGTCAGTAACGTAGTTCAGCTTTCGACCGCGACTTTTCTTCAATCGTTTGCATCTAAGGAGCGGGGCGGAGCGTTCGACGCGCACACGATTCCACGCACCTGCAGTGCGCGTGAGAGATGACGGACGTCCCGTAAACAGGCGGGGGCTGCTGCACATGTTAGGCTATATTAAACCCACGCCACCAAAGCGGGACTTTCAGCGTTTAATAAAAGAATATTCATTTCTTTGAATTCTTTGACGTTAAAATGTCAGCTGCTTGTCCACAGGTGTTATTTTAGAACAGTTGTGTTGTCAAGTTTGTGGCTCGATTCCAAAGTGGGTACAGTGAAATGTAGGCTATCAGCTCGTTAAACAATATGAGAAAACAAATTAAACTATAGGTAAACTTGACTCTGACAGGCCCTTAGACAGCCTGATTAAAGGGGTTTTTCTTATCTCTGAAAAAGTGGTCTTTTTTTTGCAGTTATTCGCTTATTTTCTATTTAACTATAAATATTTAAATACTGGATTTAGGTGATATTTTAAGCACTTTTTAATCTGGTGGTTAGTCTGATGGTCATCATAACAAAATATTTTCTGAATAGTTAGAATAATGAAATATGATAAATATGTATTTTAAAAATACAATTGTATTACATCATGTACATTATCAAGGTTTTTAATGAAAACTGTGGTCTATTGTAATATATAGGCAAATAACAAACTTGCCACCACAATTCATTTTTCGTAAGTCAGAATTTAGCCATTTGAATATTAAAAAAACTTAATATAATAATTATTATTATCATTATTATTTCTACAGAGCTATACAATTGTTCTAGCGTCTCTTGTAAAATAAAAAGTACATTTCAAAATTAATGGATAACAACAATAGCCAAAGTAGTATTCAAATAGATTTTAATATTTTTTATTGGTCATGTTTTCTTTCAAGTATAAGGTCCAAGATTTAGAATAAAAGTTACTTGTCCCCTTGAATTATTCACCCCCCTGTTTATTTTTTCTTTAATTTCTGTTTAATGGAGTTCCTCAAACATTTGAAACTTGAAACAGCTTGAAACGGTCTTGAAACTTTTACAGCCTACATTGTGAAAAAGGTTCCTCACAATTCCGTCATGTTGTCCAAACACAAATAAATTTAATTTAAGTAAATTGAACGTAAAACAATTAAGTTGTCCCCAAAAAATATAAGAATTGTTTTGATTAAGCTCATTTTAAAGATGCAGTTTGAACAACCAGCGAAAATCTTTGTCTTTGTGAACTACCTATTTGTATGCTTATATCTTATTTATAAACTCACTGATTTGTGGTTTGTTGATGTCTGGCAGTGGTTTGCTTTATGAATGTTCCTCAGTACTATAGACATTTCAGACTACCTGTATTAGCATTCTTAACTCACAGAGGCCAGTGAACATTTTTTTACAGTTGTAAAAGTAAGTACACACACTGCAATTTTGTCGTCTGCAGCTTTGAGTGAGCTTCTCATTGCAGAATGATGCTGGTTGACTGGCAATGTTTTTATATTCATCATCTTGGGAAAAAAAAGTTCTGAAAGTGATTTTAGCGATAATGCTATGCAAGATCTAGGTGACTTTCATCAATATTAAAGAAGAATTTGAGCTAAAACCGTGGGTCTTGATGATTCATAGTGAAAATTGCTACTTTTGAGAGTGTAAAAAAGCAAAACCATGAAAATGTTTTAAAGGTATCTTAAAGCGAAATGATGGATAAGTGCGAGAAACTATAGAAATAGTTCAGCCAAAACTGAAAATGATGTCATGTACATGTCAGAAAGTCGTGTCAGTTTGAGCTTCTTTGTTTAGTTGAATACAAAAATCTTGAAAACAAGTAACCTACATATTATTTGCTTTTCCTACTAAGGATGTCAGTGGTTATAACTTTCTAGCGTTCTTCAAAATAATAATTTCTTTATGTTTAACAGAATAAAGAATCTAATTAAGGTTTGGAAACACTTGAGGTCAAATAAATAGTAAGTACATTTTTATTTTGTGGTGGATTATCACTTTTACATTGTTTACATCTTTAATCCACAGCCTTAACAATGGTCTACTGAAGAAACAATTCAGTAAATTAACAGCATATTCTCATTTTGAATGGACTACATCTCTTTAAAACCTGTATTAATTATGTATACAGCATACTTTCTTTACAATTACACTAGACTATGTGTCACATATACAGCCATGTGAAACAGTTAGGCCACCCTATTGAAATTTATACATTTCTCTACCAAAAAACTTAGCAGGTCTTATAATTTGAAATGTAAAGCCTCAACATGACACCACATCTCACAACGTGTCATCATTTAATTAACAGAATAAAGTCGAGATAGGAAAGCTACAGGGGACAAACCCTATGACCCATGATTAAGATGCTTGTAGATCCACTTGTATGTTCTTATCAGTCTCTTACTTAGATCATTCTGGAGGAGTTTTGAGTTTTTTTGGGCACCACTCTTGCCATAGCATTTTAGTCAGAATGAGTCTGGACTTTGACTGGACCATTGCAAAACCTTGATATATTTTCTTCTGTTCAATTGTAGATTTGCTGGTGTGTTTTGGGGATCATTGTTAAGGTTCATGACCCAATGGTTGGTTAAACTTTAGCTGTTGCACGGGCATTGCTTTAAAGGGATAGTTCACCTAAAAATAAAATGCTCTCACCTCCAAGTGGTTCCACACCTTTAGGAGTTTTTTCTGCCATTGAACAAAAGAGAAGATATTTTAAAGAATGCTGGAAACCGGTAACCATGGCCTACCAAACAGGAAAAACTGTAACACTTTACATAATAATCCCTGAATAATGATTTATTAATGTGTAAGCTAAATAATATTTTATTATAAACTAACTTTACCTTCAACGTGAGTTCGTTTGTAAATGATTGTAGCTTACTTGTTAGTCAGGTTTGGGATGCTGTCCCAGGAGAGAACCCTGATCTCGGAGATAATTCAACCCAGGGCTCCCGTCTGGTCAGTAAGTAAAAAGGGGGGTCTGAGATGAGGTAGGTCTCGAGAGCTCCCTCTTTTAAAAGAAGGAAATGAAAGAGATGGGGTGGAAGGTGGGATTCTTCCAAAACAAAGAAAAGGCAGTAGAGCAAAATTTGTCTCTTGATTGTAGGCTTGGATCAATCTGATTTGATTTTTGTTGATTACAGATGAGAGACCAGTAGTGATTAATCATATCACATGCTTCTCTCGAAATTAGTTTGTAATCTTTACTTAGTTTAAGCTAAATATAACCAATATGCTCTTGTGACCTGCTAATATCTTTATGTCATTGCTTTACTTGGAGGGGCACGTTATCAATAACTCATTATCATTAACTCATTCTTAACTTCTTATGGACTTAAACTGTTCATTTTGATGTAGATAGAACACGTTTCGATTATTTCTAATGTCAGATGTGCAGAAGTGTTACATTTACACATGGGAGTTCATGAAAGAATGAGTTAATGATAATGCCTTAAATCATCATTAGATCTCAATGATGTTTAATGTACATATTAATTACATTATTCAGTTACAGCTATAATAATGTGTTGGCAGAAAAACAAATTCTATGGAAGTCAATGGTTACAGGTTTCCAACATTTTTCAAAATATCTTCTTTTTGTGTTGCAGCAGAAAGAAGTTAAAACATTTGAACTAAGTATAGGACGAGTAAATGCTGATGACTAGTTAATGCATTTAATTATCAGTTTCTGGCTTATTTTTGGTCACGCAATATGTTGTTGTTGTTCATCTGATGTTTTATTTCCCAATGTAAAGACCTGCCAAAGGTTTAATAATTGCTTATAGCATATATTAAACACTGAAATTTAACAGGGTGTCTGAACATTATTACAAGATTGTGAACATTTGACACAATCAGAATAATAACCATTACAAAACTGTAACCTTAATGTGAATCGTGTTAGTGTGTTTTTATAATGTCTGGTCTGAACTATCAAGTGTTATTGCTGTTGTTTAGAATTTTTTCTGCATCAAAAAGTTTCAGACTGATGGAGTCTAGTCAGTAAGGCTGATCTGTGTCTGTTTGTAACCAGCAGAGGGCAGTGACAAATAATTTTTCGATGAGAAAAATCAACGAACACCAAATGAGTAAACAATAAAACTTTAATATTATTTTATATCTGAACGTTAGCGTAGGCTACCAGATTTTTTGAAAATCTAGATTAGTGACAGTGGCAGACTATGATTTGATGGGTTCGTTTCTGATATAATGGAGTCATGTGTTCATAATGGGCTTTATTAATTTTTTAATAAAGCTATCACAAAAAGTAACACTTAAAAGTGTGTGTGTGTGTGTGTGCGCGTGCGTGCGTGCGTGCGTGCGTGTGTGTGTGTGTGTGTGTGTGTGTGTGTGTGTATAAAATATATATTTTTATTGTTCTTAGTAATCAGAAAAGCATGCATACACACGTGTCATAAATAAATAGAATCATCAGTATTTAATATTTTTTTTTCATTACATTTTATTTTTGGTTTAAAAACACGACAATATTTTAAAACCTAATAATGATGGAATTAATATAGTTTGACATTTTTACAGATTTGCAGTGATAGACATTTATGAAAAATGTGTAATGTTGTATTGGGTAATTTGAAGTTCATAAAACTATTAAATGTTTTATTTACACATTTATATAACATGGAATGTTCTAAAAAATAAATATCAAAATACATAATTTGCTTTGAACAAAAGAAATTATACCAACATATTGAAAAAAATATATTTCAATATTTAATACTTCATATATCGGTTATTCAAAGACATCATAGTCAAATTTCACTTTTAGATGCAAGTTCCTTTTATTAAACACCCTTTAGATTGTCTTTAAATAAATTATAAATTATTATACTTATAAAACTTATTAATAAAAGTATATTTAAAAATATTGAAAGCTACAGCTGGTGTGACATCATCAGGTCACATGACCATCAAATGACAGTTGTGAATATTTCAAAAGAAATACAAAGTAGGCTGCAATATTCGCACAATGTAACTATTTTAGTGTCCGCTAATAACGCCTGCTCCTGTGAGTTCAAATGAATACTGCAATGTGAGTAAGTGTGTGACGGTTTTAGTGAGAAAGACTATTAAGCCTTGTCTCGCCTTGTCACTCCGTTAATTCTCACCTATTACATTGTATTTTCATGTTAGACGCCTTTTTTCGTGTCAAGCTTTTTTACGACAGTCTCTGGATTTGCTCAAACCGAAAGTGTCAGGACGCACAGTGCTAAAACCGTAAGCAAAATTTATGAAGTTTTATACACGCGGCTAACGTAATACTGTAACGTACTGTATCACCGAGACTCTGTCATAAAACTGATGAGCTCATAGGATTTAAATGGAGGAACACGGAAGAGCGGTTGACACAATTTACTGGAAACTTAAGAGGCGGTTTCGGTTTGCCGGACATTGAGCCAGAATGTGTGATAACAGCTGTTTCTGTGAAAACAAGCAGGATACCATAGACGAAAGCCTGGACAAAACGTGTATCTTCTGTACCATCGCGAAGGGCGATGATCGATACACTGAGATACTCGCAGAGGTACGTTAAGTTGCTCTTATCTCCATTTTTTCTTTCACTTCCATGAATTGGCAGATTCACTCCTCTTTCTAAAGCTAATGTTTTATATAATTTTACATGTTTATAGTCTTCTTTACGAAGAGGAAGTTTTAGTTGTTGTCACTCTAAATTGAAAAATTAAGCCGTCATAATAAACATTAAAAGGGCTGGTCCAGTTATCAAATGCTTCGAGATCTATTCACTGGGGCGGTAACATGACAGAGGACAAATAGTTGTAGAGATTTTTGCTCTTATATTGTAATCAGATGTTTATATGTTGTTTTGTCCAAACCTATATACATTTATAAATATCAAATTAAAAATAAGTTAAAGCTGACGTAGATTCTGACCTCATCCGCGTGACAGGGGCGGGGGAACCCCGAAAACTTACCCACGGAGTGGAAAGATAGATACGTGTCGTGTGTGTGCACACAATATATCCTGTAAATGATGTAGTCCTATCCTGCTGTAATGCTACTAGTAAATATTTTTAATTTTCCATTAAATACTCCAATCGTACGTATTAATTAGCTAAACCAGTATTTAGATACTAGTAAAGTGATAATAGCAGAGTGCTTATTCATTAGATAGTCCTATAGTACTTGGTTCATTAGTCATTATTTTGTTGATAGCAACAAGCCCCAAGAAGCCATGAATTACATTGAATTGAATTTATAACAGGTAATGGTTGTTGTTAGGCACAGGGTGAAACAGATAGTCTGTTTGCTGCTTAGCTGCTACTATCTATTTAATAGACAATAGCACACATATATAGGCTAGATGGATAGTACTTATTTAAAATGTCAATAGTAAGAATTTATTTTTAAAAGTAATGTTTTTAGTTGATCTCTACTGTGGCTACTAGTAAAAGTTACAACAGTTTATTAGGTCTAATAAATAAGTAGTACCTATGAATAGCTTAAGATTTAAGATGTAATGATTAAGTAATAATAACCATCATTTAATGAATGTTTACAGGGAATATTTTAAAAAGATAGTAGTCACTTGGAATAATTATTAGCTAGAAATAAATATGTGATATTAAAAACAGTCTCTGTTGGAATTCATACTATAGTCAATACTTCATTTTTATGTCACTTACAGATTCCTGTATAAGTCAATGGGAGGAAAAGACAGATTTTTAGCCATCACTGAGTGTAATATTTACTTAAGTACATTTGTGCAGATATATTTTAATTAGTTTTTATATTAATTTAAATAATTATAATAATTTATTTGATTCATCTACAAAACAGTGATAGTTTATATTATATTTGTTTACCAATTGGATTTGCATTGTAAACCCTAAAAACAAGTTAAAAGTTAATAAGTGTTTAGTTATTATGCTCCCAAAAAATCCCCATAAATTTACAGATTTAAATTTACAAAATTTCTTCAGATTCTGTCTGACCCTGCTAATGACTAATTACTACTGTCTAATTAATAGTTAAGAGTATCTATTGAGTAATAGCCATAATATGTAAATTAAAAAAATAAGCATTAGTAATTAAGTAGACAAGTACTTATTAACAAAAATACTAGTCCCTCAAAATTAAGTACTAGAGTCATAAAATGTATACTGGAACTTTGCATATATGATAAAACATCTTGCCATATACAGTGCTGATTCTGCTGAACAAACAATATAATAAAATGGACACTGGTACTTTGAATATATGATAAAAACAACTTTCGTAGTATTAAGCATAGTCATTTTGTTGTGCTTAAATTGACTTCTATTTAATATATCTAGCTGTAGATGAATATAATGTGATTATTGTTATTGTTTATTTTTGGACAGGATGAGGACTTTGTTTGCTTCAGGGACATCAATCCAGGTGCACCTCATCACTACTTGGTTATACCAAAGAAACACATCTATAGCTGTTTGTCGCTCTATGCAGATGACATAAGTCTTGGTAAGATTGTGTGTTTTTTGTGGAGTGGCATTTGATTATTTGTGACTAACCATGATTTAGGAATAGCTTTTATACTTGCAGCCAGCAGGGGACAGCAACAGACAGAGAAATTAAAAATGGGCTTTATGCACATCTTGTGTTATTCAGCCAATGATGCAGGGGCGGACTGGGACTAAAAATCAGCCCTGGCACTGTAACCACACCAGCCCACATTACCACACCGACACAGCCCCATGTACGGACACGCATATTCACTACTCATATTATTGTACAGATGGTGAAATAATATAAGCAGTACCATATGTGCTACATATTTAAACATTTAATGCATGTGACTGGAACAAAAACAACCTATTTATAACAAATTTATCTATGCAATCATTTTATTCATTCATTATCTTTTCGGCTTAGTCCCTTTATTAATCAGGGATCGCCACAGCGGAAAAACCACCAACTTACCCAGCATATATTTTACGCAGCAGATGCCCTCCAAGCTGCAACTCACTGTGAAACCCCTATACACACACATTCACATACATGCACTACAGACAATTAGGCCTATCCAATTCACCTAGGGCACATGCGAGGGAAACCAGGAGGAAACCCACACGAACATGCAAACTCCAAACAGAAACATCAACTCACCCAGCCGAGGCTCGAAATAGCGACCTTCTTGCGCCCCTGCGCTGCCCCCTTTCGAGACTATTTCAGTTAAATTTATGCATTTGACAGCGTTTGATTTTAGAGACATTTTTTTTTTGCTTTCTGTGAGCTTTTCGGCACCGCCTTTCCTTTTTTTATGGTCCATCTCTGACAATCAGCTTGTGTTGCATTTACTGTTTGTTTGACATTCTTGCCAGATTTTGATTACGTCTGCATAACCTCTAATTGGGTCGGCCCATCTCAAACCAGTCGGTCATTGCCGATTGCGCCAATGCTTAACATTTATTATTATTATTACTACTATAATCATCATCATCATAATACTCACATCTTGCAAGAGTTAAAAGCTGCCTGCATGTAAAAACTATACATATAAAAAATAAAAATAAAAAAAAATAGCTGACCGGCCCACATTTAAAAAACGGTCTGGCCCTTCTGGCATTTCCCATAATTGCCAGATGGCCAGTCCGCCCCTGCAATGATGAACTTCCAGTGAAATGTTTATGTGGCTATTTTCAATTTCATAAGGTTCCTTTTACAGCATTGATGTTGTAATGTAATTCAATTATAATCAGTTAAATACACTTAAGCATTCATGGTTGTTACAGCGTAAAAAGAGATGACAAAGCGTTTAAATGCAGGCACCGTCATTAGCAGCAGGCTAGCACAGTAACTCCATTGAATATACTGGGGTAAAATTAATTTCCATGTTTTAAAGACATGGCACAGAAAAAATATAATTTTATTAATGTAATGCAGTGCTTCTTGTTTGATCTGAGACCCACTTTATATCGAATCTCAGCCAGGCAGTAAAGATCACTGTTTTTTTTTAAAGAAATCAGATCCTATATGCTGTGATTTTGTATGGGATGATTGTTCACCAGAAGCCCTGGGGCTGGCTGACTGAAATTAAAAGCCTGTGTGCATATACCCCATTGAAACCTGATCAGGGTTTCTCTGAGTCTTAAAAATATATGTAATATATAGAGTTTAAGGCATTGAAAAGGTTTTACATCAAGTCATTCCATTAAAAGTTCAATATATGCCATGTAAAAAAATGATGTGTCAATCTGTCATGACAACAGATGTTATTAAGTTAACAATATATTTAATAAGTTAATAAATCAGGTTTCAACTAAAATATTTAAGGTGTACAAAATTTCAACTGAATATTTAAGTCAGTTTGATTATTGTAAGTTTAGATGACTAGAACAGTTCATCTGAACTAAAAGCAATAAGGCGGAAATATGTCTTTTACAGTGTATAAGAATATATTAGTATTTTTACTTCCCAAACATTATTAGATCAACATTTACTTGATTTAAAACAGATAATTAAGTCTTGGGTCCAAAGTTGTACAAAAGTATTTATGGGTAAAACATGAACAAATGACTGTGAGGGAAATTAGGCCTGTCACAATAATCATTATTTCAACTTATCACGCAACACATAGGCATAACCTCAATCATTTTTGTTGATGCAATATATATCACCCATACATAAACATCAATTCTAGCAAGAATTTAGCTCATTGTGCAACCTCTCTATCTTTATTAAATATGTCAGTGTCAGTATGGTTTATAAAACGCTGTCATATTTACTAAAATATATTTTTTATGTGGGACCTTAACAACTGAAAAGAGATCTGGTAGCAGATATTGCAGCCTTGGTTACTTTTTACCTTGTACTTTTTTGTTAACAGTTATTTGTTATTTATTTGTTTAGGTGATGTGTTTTCGCAGTCTGATTCCAACGCCTAACTATTAAATTGTTAAAATAACTAGGATTGAATGAAATATTATGTGTTCTTTGGAAGAGTGTATACTTGCATTGTGATGCTATTATATTGTCATTCTGGCATTATATAATGAGTGGCATAAAATCTTGCCACTTATATTAAATATTGTCCTAAATGACAATAATAATTACATTTATCACAATATATTTTGGTGCAATATGTTGTACAACAAAAAACAGATATTGTGACAGGCCTAGGTAAAAATTACTTTTTCATTTAAATTAAGTAAATTCTTTTCAGACCACTGGCATTTATATATTCTTATTCTAATGGTAAACTTGAATTTTGAACATTTTGATGAACATTTTAATTAATTTCCATTTAAAACGAGAACTAAGCTTCTTATTTGATACCATTTTGTCTCCAGAGTAAAATGTATTGCACTTGAAAACAAGACATACAGAGGAAGAGGTGCATTATAAGTCATTTCCAAGATCTAGTATTTGCGTTCATAATTTGTTTGACTTACTCAAACTGAAAACCACATTTGTTAACAAGGGGGTAAAATCGAATATTTTCAAATATATTTCGACCCACAATTGTGCTTTTTAGAACCAAATATTTTTTTTGCTTGTTTGTTTGTTTGTTTTAGCTATTCTAAATAAAACAAATTGTGTAGTCTATAATCTGGAATATTTTTGTTATTTTCACCAATTGTCATTTTATGTGCTAAATAGCAAAACATTTTATTTATTTTATTTTTATTTTGTTTTAAAGGGTACCTATTATGCAAAAATCACTTTCATAAGGGGTTTAAACACAGTTATGTTGCAAAAGTCTCTGAATATAACCTGTTTCTAATAGTAAAAATATATATAATTTTTCTTTTACATCCCACTTCATAAAAGCAGAAACAATTTGATTGACATTCTCCCATTATACGTGTCATCAGAACAGGAAATCCCCGTCAATTAGTGACGATTTCTCGCTTATTAGCATAAGATGTTAGTCCTGTTATTTAATCTGCCACTCTGCTGACACGTAGGCATTTGTAGCTCCGCCCTCTTTTAAAAAAAAGCACAACCTTATTTGAATTTAAAGCAACAGTCACCAATGTGGCACAATTAGGATTTAAGCCTAAAGATGCAGTTTCAAAGAGTTATAAAACCAAAGAGTCCTATATTTTGAGCTGAAACTTCACATACACACTCTAGGGACATCAGAGGCTTATTTTACATCTGGCAAAACGAGCATCATTTAAATTCTCAAACAAAAAATTCTATCTCTCTAAAACAGCACAACACAATGGTGATGATATGGTTAATGTTTAATTTATTTTAATAATAATAATATTTAAATCACGTAAACATAGAGAGATTATATAGGAAATGTATGAATAAATTGTGATTATTATTTGCAGTTAGGGGGATGGCAGAGATGGGAAGAAATGTACTGAAAGCCAACAATGTGACAGATTTGAAAGACATCAGGTATGCCTTTCTTTCATTTTTCATTCATTTTCATTTTTCATTATCATTTATCAAGTACTAATTTTGAGTGAAGCTAGTATAAAATGAGAATGTGATCGTATTTCAGTCTAGGTTTCCACGTGCCTCCGTATATCACCGTCCCACATCTGCATCTACATGTTCTTGCACCTTACAGCCAGCTGTATAAATGGGCAATAAATAAATTTAGAACCAATTGGTACATAAACGTGAGTAAACTAAAGCTATTTCTTATGATCACACTTGGTTGTATATAAGTTCATAAAGTTTGACAATTTTTTTTAGTGTTTCAGTTTGTTTTTTGTGCCTTATAGGAGGAGAAGACTGTTGAGATTCTGATGAAGGGAAAAACTCAGATGGTCTAAAAGGGATTTGTGCTAGATCTGAATCTTCATGAATCTTTGTCTGAGGAAACTTGAAATCACAAGCCACTTAATTGAAGATTAGGGTCACTGCAAATTTCATATTTTTATTTTATTTACTACTGAAGCCTTTTTTTTACTAGAATGGAAGATTTATATTACTGACAGTTACTAACAAAGTGTGATATTTATTGTTATTGCATAGTCTGTTATTCACTTTATTCATTTTAGATCACAGTCCACATGCTTTATTGTCAGCAATGATCAAATACCATAGTATTATTATTAATTATTATATAAGAATCAGAGGTCATTAAAGCTCATTCATTCATCATTCATTTTCTTTTCGGCTTAGTCCCTTTATTAATCTCGGGTTGCCACAATGGAATAAACCCCTAACTTATCCAGCATATGTTTTACACAGTGTATGCCCCTCCAGCTGCAACCCATCACTGGGAAACACTCATTTACACACATACACTAAGGACAATTTTAGCTTACCCAATTCATCTATAGCATGTCTTTGGATTTGTGGGGGAAACCGGAGCACTCGGAGGAAACCCACGCGAACACGAGGAGAACATGCAAACTCTACACAGAAATGCCTCAATAAAGCTCAGTATATACTTATTCATATATTGATGTACATGCATTCTAATTGATGATATATAAATGATAATTTATCTATATTTATGTGTTTTGAATAAAACCTTTTTTTTCTGAAAGCGGCTGATCATTTCTGAATATTTAAATAAAAATGTTGTGATTAAGAGCTTTTTTTATTCTTATAAATTAAAATTATTAATTAAATAACAAAACATATTTTTATTCTTAAAAAATAGCACCTTTTACCACATTCAGATGTTTCATATGTTTTTTAGACAAAACTTGACTAACTCTTTTAAAAACTTTTTAATAACAAATAAAAACTCTTATTCTAACTAATTTTTTTCAAAACAAAAAAGCAGTCAATGTTCATTATAACAAACCTGTATGGATTAAAACAAATGTCACCATTTTACTTAAATGCATACATAGTTCCCATCAATCCAGAAAAACTAAGAATTTCCTTGTAATTATTTCCATAGCTGTTTACATATATTTATTCCCGTTGTTGCTTTGATTGAACTTTTTCTTGTATTTCTGTGTATTTTTATTATATTTGTGTAAATTGCTTTGAGGTTCCTTTTTTTAAAACAGCATATAAAAATACTAAAAGAATAAGTTTTTAGTCATTATTATAAAAGATTGTTTTTTTGTTAAAAATAGATCACATCTGTGGCATGTATGGTATTTTAGGAATAAGGAAATGTTAGTCATGTGAGAAACAGCATCTGTGTAGTTATAAAGTTCATGCATAAACTAAATAAAAAGTTTACACATGAATGTTTCCCCATTCTAACTAGACAAAATTAGACTAGACAGGCTAAAAAGAGAGCGAGAACTTTCTATGAGAATGTTTTCTTTGTGTTGTCAACGTAACATGGAACCTGTCTCAGTTGATGTGAAATTTTAAAGAATGGCCTAATTTATATGAAGTGTTATATTATTAGAGTGTAATTGTTTTTTAATAATTCAATGGACTGTAGTCAATTATTCTGTTTATATGGTTTATAAAACTTAAGGTTGTATTGGTAAGAGGTTGGGTAACACTTTATTTTGGTGATCCATTTGAGTATTAGTAGACCGTCTGCTTAATATGTTAATACTGCTCTTTCAACAGACATTTAACTGACTATAAGAAACTTTGGAAGTACATGTCAACTTACACTGACCCTAACCCCAATGTAACAGTCTACTTATAATCTAATGAGAATTAGTTGGCATGAAGATGCAATATAACTTCAATTCAACTAACGCACCATCAAAATAAAGTGTGATCAGAGATTATATTTTACGATTTTGTTCTTCAGCTCCGATGTGTGCTAGTAGTTTCTTACACATCTCATGCAAAGCCTTCTGTTTTGTGTTGGTTTGATTTGACACTTGCATCTTGGTGATTTGCAGTAATCTAAAATCTGTTTAAGTGATATAGAATAGTAATCTGCCTGGGTCTTTTCTGGGCTTTTATGTGACAATAAGTGCACACCCTAAAATGTTTGTCATTCAATCAGAATGAAGCATTAAAAAACCCCTACTGTAATACAAAACAATAAAAAAGTTGTCAGCCTGGCTGGCTTGTTACTGTAGATGGTGTAACGTATTAAACCTTGCATTATTTGACTATGACTTCTCATTTAAAACACAGTAAAAGTTAATCCTAAATCATGTTTAAGTGGTTTTAATGTACTCAAACTGCCTTCATTAAAACACAGATTTAACTAGCATACAACAATGAAAAAACAAGAGAAAATGTTTAAATTAGGTATACAGCAAAGCTTGATAAAGCCAACTTATTGTTGTGTTATTTAAAATTGCCTATATAATATACTTTTGCTATAAAATGTTATGTTATAATTCTTCTTCTTTTGAGACTAAAACACTGAAAAAAAATCTAATAACTATTCAGAAAAAAAAAATTAATCATGTAAAAACAAAAACTTTCTGTGTAGCAGAGGCCAGCTAGTGAAGTGCTGTGCAGATCAACCTCACTCCTCTGACCTCTAAAGGTGCTTCTGCAACAGAAGCTAGAGACCCTGGTCTTAAGCCTCCTTGTTAGAGCAACCGACTCTCGTACGAAGAGTTCCATCCCACTTCGGAGCGGGTTGGGTGGTGTAGGACCGACAGGGTTACAATGGTGCCGTGAACCAGATGGAAGTGTGATTTAAGGGGGTGAGTGTAGCAGAGGCCAGCTAGTGAAGTGCTTTGCAGGTAGACCTCACTCCTTGACCTCTAAAGGTGCTCCGGTGAAAGACACTAGAGGCCATGGTATTTAGCCTCCTTGTTAGAGCAACAGTCTCTCATACAAAGAGTTGCCGGTTTAATCCCAGCTCAGAGTGGCTTGGGTGGTGTTGGACCGGCGGGGTTTTATTGGTGGTGCCATGACCCGGATGGAAGTAAGGTAGGGGGGGGGGGGGGGGGGGGCACTTCATAGCTAGTGAAGTGCTATGCAGTTACACCTCTCCTCTGACCTTCAAAGATGCTCCAGCGACAGACACTAGAGACCATGGTCTTCAGCCTGCCCATTTGATTTGCCGGTTCGATCCCAGTTCAAATCGGGTTGGGAGGTATAGGACCAGCGGGGTTACACCTGCATCTGTTTTTTCATTTAAAAAAAGACAATTTAAGAGTTACAGTACATTATTTGATCCTTTATTTAGCTGATATTTTTCTAATAAACTTGCAGAGAAACTGATTGCCAAAACAAACAAAATATGATAAACATGCTTTGCAAATATGGCAAGACATGACAAATTCTTCATATTCCGGATTAATGTAAGTGCATGTTCAGTTAGATTAATAAGAATCTCACATATAATAATAAATTATAGCCTATGAATATCCCACACAATATCTAGTCAAATATCAGATTTAATTCTCCATTGCTTTTGTTGACCTCAAACACTTAAATGTGATTTACCATTTTTACAGTTTGTATCAGTCTGCAAAAGGAAAAGAAGACAAGTAGTGAGGACTAAATGTTGTATAGTTGTAGAGAACGTCATTTCATTTTTTTCAGTTGTGTGTTAGGTGTTTAATGTACTCTTAGCACGACTGCTGTTCACTTCAAGAGTAGCCTATCAAACAGTTCTTTATAGACCAAAGCTTTGCGTCAGAAATCTGTGATCTTTTTCATTACACATCTCTTTCTTTTCATTTTTAAATGACACTCAAAGGTCATCAGAAGCTCAGGTCCACAAGTCTGTTTACATTCACTCAGATTTTAGCACAAGGAAAGCATCCACAGAACATTTTCTTGAAGGGGTTGTTATTATCATGTCTTTTGGCCTGTGCCAGTTTGATAAGCACTTCCCCAAGCACAGCATCAGTTTTCTGCACATTGTTTAAGATGTAGTCTGTCATGGGTCCTTGCTCCTCCACAAGCATCGCCACATCCAGGAAGACTTCATGAAGGCTGTTGAGTCGGTTTTCCAGCTCCAGCAGTTCCCGATGTCGATGCTCGATCTGGTTGAGTGCAGAGCGAGCTGTTTTGCCCTCTGACATGATGTTATCGTTAAAGACGTTCCACTCACCGTTCTCCAGCATCTCCTCTATCTGGTCACCTGACACCTCTCGACCGACGATCTCCATTTGTCGTTGAATGTGACGCTTGCATGATTCCTTGTGATTCATCTCAGCATCATTGTACTCGGTCATTGCATCTTGGAAGTTGTTGCTCAGGGTGGCATACTGTGTTCGGGCGATTCTGGCTACTGCTGAGTTGATGCCATGCTCCTCTTGCAGCTCTTTGGCGTGGGCGTCCATCTTTTGTAGACGTGCCAAAACGTCCACCCCACGGGTCTTGATGTCACCTGCGATGGCATTGGCGTCACGCTTTACATAACTTGTACGTGTCGGTTCGTTGAGTATTCGTGTGTTTTGGTCCCTGAGCCGCTTGACCTCGAGGCGGATGAGCTGAATCTCACGTCTGGTGTCTTGAGCCTCGTCAAGCACAGACTCCATATCTTCACCATTGTCAAAAATGACAGCCTGCTGGCTGAAGTTCTCCTCCAGATCCACATTGCTGAAAGAGTCAGATTCTACCTCCTCTAGATGACTGTCGGTCTCTGAGATGGTCAGAAGATGATTTAGTCGGTCCCTCATGATTGCTATAAGAAAGAATGAAGAGCAAAGGACATTAAGTATGGGTTCATCTTGACAGGGTTGGTTTGATGTAAAGAAACTCTGCTCTAGTTAATATCAATAAGTGTGAACACAAAAAAACAGAACAAAACGCAGCAACAATCAATGAGACCCCTGAAATAGTGAGTTTCAGATTGTGTTCAAGTTGGTACACTCTTAAAAATAATAAACAGAATTAAAAATAATTCTGAATAATTTCAGAAGGAGGTTTTTGCCCTGCAACCATTATTTTTGGTTCCTAAAAAGAACCTTTCAGTAAACAATTCTTAAAATATTTTTTTTTCTTATTGTTAATAACATTTTTAAAATCTTTAGTATTTTTTACTACAAATAATGCTTTTATTAAAGATTATTTGTGAAACCAGCCATACAAACTCATTTTTTTTTTGTTTTATTTAAAAGTGTAGTTTGCTTGTCTTGATTAATTTATTCTGGACCACCAAAAAGTAAATAACAATTTTAGTTCTGGTTCTCTTTACACTCATTCAATAGACACAAAAATATATAAAATTGGGATTTTATAATTTGCAATATTATTTTCCCTCAAGCTGTCCTTGTTTTTAGGCATTGTGGAACAAAAATACCTTCTGACTGTAAAAGGCAGATAACACTTCCTTATCTACCACGAAAAAGTCACAAGTCTAACAAGTTTATCCGTGAAACTATTTCTGACTGGCGTCACTCACCAAACAAGTTTGAATGGATTGAATTGATACTTCAGCTTTTGTTTCTGTAAAGATAATATGCTCTTTAGTTATTTGTATTTTACTGCAAAGCGTATTAAAAAGAGATAATATATATATATATATATATATATATAAGACTTTATTTGAGTCACTAAAGCTTTAGCTACAGATAAACATGTGGCACACTTCTAAATTATTTAATTTTGGATTGTTGGGTTACTTTTGAAACATTTGATAGAGCTGAAATTTAAATTTATAATGAAGATGTCATTTAACAAATTTTGGAAAAAATAAATTAAGGACAAAATACGTTCGCAAGTTAACATATTAAAGTAATAGACAGAAATATTTATTATAAACAAAGTTAAGCAAGTATATTTAGCATATTGTGTTACTTTTAAACCATCCATGTGTTACTTTTGTCTCTACTGATGGGGTCAAAAGAAACAATGTGCAATTTATGCTAAAAGTGAAAATAAGTTGTTCTACATTTGTACAAAAATACCACCTGATCACGACAGACCACTCTTGTGAGTTAGTAACCATAGCAAGAAATATTTCTGTCTAAAATAATATCTTTTAAAATGAGTTTTTTATGAACAATTAAATGTTGTTTTGTTTCATCTCTTGCCTACTCTTTTAGACATGCTGACAACATTATAATGAATTTATTAGCCTAATAATGAACAATTGCCCATAAAAACATAATGTAGAGCTGAAATGTGAAAAGCAAAGTCCCATGTCATCTACAAAAAAGTCCATTACCTTATGTTTTTGTCCAAATGATTTGCAGTTTGAATTAAGTCGACATGTCATGTCAGTACTACAGCTCCATCCTCTCTGCAGTGAGGCGGCTGATGTCCTCCTCTCCCAAGTGGGGGGGTGAAGGAATGCGCGGTGCAGGGCGTAACTTTGACGCCAAACCTGTTCGCTGAATAGTCTTCAGACGTGCGTTTCGTTACTTTTGACATCATCTCTGTTTTAAGAAATTCCTCAGCGGTCAGATGATCTTCTTCGTGTCTTCCATGTCTTTTCACTAGCCTGCGTTTAAGTAAAACTATGCAGTAGTCTAGGCCTCAGAGCTATGATGATGATGATGTGTATATACGTTGTTTATAGGCTAGAATAAGAGAAGACAACTTTAAAATATGATTAAGCATCTGATATTGTTCCTTGAGGCGCACTTGTGTTGTTCGTGGTCAGATTAGAGACCAATCATGTAATTATTATTACTGTTATTATAATAATTATTTAAATAATTGTTTTGCATTATATTTGAATTTTTTTTATAATTATCTTTTGAGAATTGTTTTCTCTTACAATTATCCTAACGCAATATTAAAATGTAAAAAATGAGGAAACCGAACCGAATAATTACAGAAGCTTTTGTAAACCCAAAAGCTGGTCCAAAATGATTTAGAGACACCAGAGTTTAATCAGCCAGTGAGTGTATAAATAATATTATTCGTGAATTGCATAATTAAAAAAAAAAAAAGAAATGCTGTAATGAAGTAGTCGAGGGTTTTTTGCTTGGGGTCTAGAGATCCCAAGAAGGCGCAAGAGTGTTGGAATTATTTAGAGAAAATGCATAGGCCTACAAAATGTGTAACTAACAAATATAATTTATTATGATCATGTTTAAGGCGTTCGTGGTAACTAAACAGTTGAAAAAGCCTTTGGGACAGTTCTGTGTTTAGGCTCTACTTTGCTCGGTTCTCCCCTGGCCCCGCATTTCTTCTGCCCTCTGTCGGACACATTGGTCATCACTGCACACCTGATATAAGGCGGAGTCTATGACATCATCCTCACTCGTGCATCGCTGGCTGCAGAGGTGAAGTCCTGTTACGTTAAATGCATTTGTTATTTTCACGGACGGATTGGCTTTTGTATTAAGCTGATTTTAGGAGGAAGGGACAGAGAAGGATATAATTTGAGGTAGGCCACAGTCATAGTAATGCTTGAAAAATTTGTGTTATTCCAAGTGGCAAATAGTTTCATTAATAAGAGTCATTTTATACATTGAGCTAATATTACAATTGCACGATTTGGGATTGATTATAATTTTCTGTAATCCGTTCTGTTTTTAATGAATCTATATATCTAAAGACCATACAACGCACTCCTGATCAAGTAGTAAAACAATGATGAAGCGCACTGTAAGAGAAAGAGTTAAAAAAAAGCTTATATTTTTAAAACGTGTTCGTAGAAACTGGTCTTTCTTGTCTGGCAGGTACACGGGCACGTAGATTACGTCAGACGCTTTGACGGGCAGGTTATTCTGTTTACAAGGGCTGTTTGTTGGGCCCATATAGTGTACTTTAGTAACTGCAGTCCATGTATATAACTATGCTGCATATATAATGAATTCTTAGATAAAATACGTTTTGTATCTTTCAGTCAACTACTTCAGCTATGAGGGACAGACTTGGCCACCTCCAGGAAGTTTCAATGTCTAATGGGACAGTTGCAGAGCATGAAACTGCCCATTCACTCCCTGCTTCAGAAAACACAGACCTCTATGACCTTCCTCAGGACTCCAGCACCAACCCTGACATGGAAGCTGTGTTTGATGAAGCACAGGAGGCTCGCCGTCAAATTCACTATATTCGTCTGGAAGTAAAGCGTCTCAGGGAGCAAAACTCACACTTTTTTGGCTCTAGTGCGTCTAATACCACCAGTGACCGCAATGCAATTGCAGCTGACATCAAAACTCGTGGTCAGGAGATGCTTACACACCTTCGCAACATGGACTCCCATGGAAAGGAGCTAGAGTCAAAATATGGTGTCAATTCACCAGTGGCAAGAATAGCCCGAACACAGTATTCCAGCATAAGCAACAGTTTTCGTGATGCCATGGTGGAGTACAATGATGCTGAGATGAGCCACAAAGAGTCCTGCAAGGCTTATATTCAGCGGCAGATGGAGATTGTGGGGAGAGATGTTACTGGAGATCAGATCGAGGAGATGCTGGAGAGCGGTCAGTGGAACGTCTTCAGTGAGAACATGGTTTCTGAGGGTAAAACCGCACGGTCTGCCCTCATCCAAATCGAGAGCCGGCATACAGAAATGGTACAGCTGGAGAGACGCATTAAGAGCCTTCATGAGGTTTTTCTGGATGTGGCCATGCTTGTAGAGGAGCAGAGCTCAATGACAGACTACATTCAAACCAATGTTCAGTCGACTGAAGCAGAGGTCAGGCAGGTCCTTGTGAAGCTGGAGAGAGCCAAGAGACATGATAGGAACAACCCATTTAAGAAAATGTTCTTCTGGAAACGGTGAAATGGCCACACAGTGTATAGTGGTGTTCAAAAGAAACAATTGTCCAAGTATTACAGATTTTATTACAGTTCTAATTTCTAATTTATTTCTCCAAGCAGATTGCACACATCATTACAATAAAATCATTACAAACTTCATAACATATTTAAATATATTCATCATAATGTTTATATTGAGCTACTGCCATTTTCTACAGATAAGTGCTGAAAATCTTAATATTCACATTTGAAGTGTTGAAGATATTTTATCAGTAGTTTATAAAATAAAAGATGTTTTACTCAAACATGTCTATAGCATATGCAGAGAATCATTATAACTTTGAATGCTTTTGCTATGGAGAATTTGAAATAAAAAGTAATTTAGAGGATTGTTTTTTCTTTAGAAAATGGCAATTGGTCAGAAGAACAAATGTTGCCACCACTGTCTTTCCAGTTTTCATTGATATTGTTTGCTCTAAAATGTATTTAAAAATTTAGAAGAACTATAATTTAGTTGTTGACGGAATAGGGTGGCATGATTGCTAAGGGGTTAGCATGGTTGCTTCACAGCAAATTTGCTGGTTCAAGTCCTGGCTTGACCAGGAGATCTTTCTGTGTGGAGCTTGCATGTTCTCCCCATGTCTGCTTGGGTTTTGTTCGGGTGCTCTGGTTTCCTCCACAGTCCAAAGAGAAGTTCTCTAGGGGCATTAGATACACTAAATTGGCCGTAGTGTATGAGTGTGTGTATGTGTGAATGAATATATGGGTGTTTCCCAAAACTGAGAGTTCACAACTTAGTGTACTTTCTGTGCTGGTTTGCGGCAAGATGGCCATCTGCCAAATAAAACATATGCCAGAATAATTAGTGGTTTATTCCACTGTGGCGACTTTTGCTGGAGCAGGTACTAAGCCCAAGGAAAGTGAGTACAGAATAAAGAAAAAATGTTTTGCACCAACTGTGAATTTTCAGTTTCTTTTATTAGAATAAATTCAGAATTTGGTGCCTTATCTGTTGTCTAGATTTCAGACTCAGAAGTGTTTATTCATTGATCCTTCGGCTTAGTCCCTAGTACTGGGAAACACCCATACACTCTCTCATTAACACACACGCACATACTGTACACTAATTTAGTTTGTCCAATTGACCTACACCTATCTATGACTTACAAGAGGAGAACATGCAAACTCCACACAGAAATGCCTCCTGGCCCAGCCAGGAGTTGAACCAGCAACCTTCTTGCTGTGAGGCGACAGTGCTAACCACTAAGCCATCAAGTGCCTATTACAACATGTCTGTGAGGCATCTTAACTACTTCATTTGTACACAAAATATTTGTCAGCTGTATCTCATTCTGTGTGCATTCATTCAAATGGTATTGGCTGATGCCATAAATTAGACTGTAACTTTGTTACCTATAGGTCACTTGTGTCTTCCTCACGTGAAACATAATAACTCCTGCTCACATCTATTAAAATAAACACATGCAATATTACACAAATCTTTCTGAGGACATGTACAGTTGAAGTCAGAATTATTAACCCCCCTGAATTATAAGCCCTCCTGTTATTTTTCTCCCAATTACTGTTGAAGGGAGAGATTTTTTTCAACACATTTCTAAACATGATAGTTTTAATAACTTATCTCTAATAACTGATTTATTTCATCTTTGCCATTATAACCGTAAACATATAAAAAAGACACTTAACTAGGTTAATTAGGGTGACTAGGCAGGTTAGGGTAAATAGGCAAGTTATTTTATAACGATGGTTTGTTCTGTAGACTATCGAAAAAATATAGCTTAAAGGGGCTAATCATTTTGACCTTAAAATGGTGTTTAAAAAATTAAAAACTGCCTTTATTCTAGTCAAAATAAAACAAATTAGACTTTTTTCAGAAGAAAGAAAATTATCAGACCTACTGTGAAATTTTCCTTGCTCTGTTAAACATCATTTAGGAAATATTTTAAAAAAGAAAACAAAAATCAAAGGGAGGCTTAAACAGTATGTAATACTTTCTCTTAGGACAGTGTTCCATGAGAGTGTTATGTTGATACATAAATGAATTCTGTTTGTTCATCTTAGTCTACTCTTCAATAATAAATGGCTTTTAATTATTAATATTTTATTGAATAGAGATGCATTTAAGAAAATGTGAATAAAAAGTACGTTTCTAAACATTTTTGCCAAAAAATGCTGTTTTGTTTATCAAAAAATTTACTAAATAAGACTGCAGACAAGACTGATGGGAATTCAGCCTTTAAATAAATAAATAAATAAATAAATAAATAAATAAATAAATAAGAAATTACATTTTAAATTCAGATTTTGCAATATTATTGCCTCCCCCCCCCATACTTCATTCAAATTGACAACTTGATGCTTAAATGTTGAGTTTCTTTCTTTCAAAATAGATCTTACCAATCCAAAACTGTTGATAGTTAGTTAGGCCACTGTAGACTCACGCAAACCCAACAAACACAAAGCTCATGATATGAATGTGACTGCTGGATCTGAGCAGGTTTATCTGGTGACATCAATTTTAGACAGTGCTGTTCCTGCTTATGTTAATGCTATGCTTCCTTTCAGCTCTTGCCATGAGGATCATCAGTGTGACTTGGGTTACTTAGTTTACTCCCTATACCTATCCCCTGGCTGCAGATACAAGGCTTAAAAATCATTGAAAAAATAATAATTGTGTTATCATTACTCATCCTGCACTTTTTCAAAACCTATTTGAGTTTCTTTCTTCTGTTGAACACAAAAGAGGATCATTTGAAAAATGCTGGTTGCTGGAATCCATTTCCATTGAATTTATTAAAACTATGTAAGTCGGTGTGTGCCAGCCAGCTAGCATTCTTCAAAATATTTTCTTTTGTGTTCAACAGAAGAAAGAAACTCAGAAAGCAATGGTCTCAAACTCAATTCCTGGAGGGCAGCGGCTCTGCATAGCTCCAACCACCTCCAACTCACACCTGCTTAATATAGTCTCTAGTAGTCTTGAACACCTTGATTATTTCGATCAGCTGTGTTTGATTAGTATTGGAGCAAAACTGCAGAGCTGCGGCCCTCCAGGAATCCAGTTTGAAACTTATGTCATAAAGATTGTGAGTAAATGATCGTAACTTTAATTTTTGGATGAACTATCCTATTAATATTCCAGACTAAAATAAAAGTGCGCTGTTTTAACTGAAAGAAACTTGCACTGACTGATCTTAAAATATCAAATCAGTTTTTTATTTATTTTGTGTGTCAAGATGCACACCAGTATTTTTTTTTCTAAGGCACATTTATAAAAAATGTCTTAAATTTAACTATGGTCTACAGTTTGTGAGTCTTAAAGAGATTCACCCAAATCTCATAATTTACTTACCGTTCACTTGTCGCAAAACTGCTTGAGTTCATTTAGTTATTTATTTTTTGAGGAATGTTAAAAATCTGTAACCATTCACTAACACTATCTCATAATGGAAGTCAATGATTACATTTTTCTAAAACTCTTCTTTTGTGTTCAACAGAAAAAGGAAACTCAATGTTTTGGAACCGCTTAAGGGTGACTAAATGCCCAGTTAATTTTTAGTTTGGGTCCGTATCTAACTATCCCTAAGATAATATTTATTGTCTTTATTGGGCAATTGTGATATATAAAAGAAAAAAAATTATGAAAAAAAAACACAAATTCTACAAATTTGTAAATGAAAAGAAAAAACGCTGCGAAAAAATAAGATGTTGCCCAATGTCAGATGAGTCATTTGTGTTCTTGCTTAGACTTGTGAACAATTATTACAAAAACGCCTCAAGTGCTCTTCAGCAGTTCTTCAGTGAGCGCGCTCCCGTGATGCCGGTGTCTAGCACGCGCTTGTCTTGTTCCAGTAGTGCTCGAGAATCACCTGAGCATCAGACCAGACTCCGCTCTGTCAGCAGCTCCAGCCAAGTAGCATGATGAGACTGTCTGTCGCCTTTCGCCACGCTCGCCGGAGCCACTCAACCATACAAAGATCACGTACTTGTGTCAAATTTTTATCCCGGGAGAACAGACACACACCTGATATCAGCGCGGTTTCTTTTCTGCGGGCTCGAGAAGCGAGTTCTACCAGCGGTACAACTGAAACAGCAGCCAGTTTACAAAGTCATGCGAGAAAATACGAAGGACCACCGTATGAAAGAGCAGTTGGGTAAGAATTAAACTTTGTCAGTAAAAAACGTTCATATCGAAAAGTAACACGTTTGTTTATACAGCTACTTTAGCTGTAACGTTACTGAAGATAAAGTGTCTCTTGTGTTGCCTTGATTTGTTTCCACGTGCTGCCGGTTTTTGTCTGCCTGCTGATGTAACTTCTGCTTCCCATTAGTCTTCAGTCTGTCTTCACACTGTGCGGATGTAGTCTACTATAGTTGTTCTGTGTCCTAACTAGGTTACATGTTCATATTGTGATACTGTATAAGTATTTGAATGTCCTATAAAGTGCGACTCTTTATTTTAACTAAACATGAATGTTTTTAGTGGGTCAGTGTTACATTGAATGTCCTCATCTAACCCGCTCCCCTGGTGGACGATCACAATACTGATCGTCTCTCGGTAAAGGATTTCTTTTAAGTGTTTGTTTGTGGGAACAATAGTTATTTTAAAGTATAAAAGTTTTTTTATTATTTTAAAAACTAAAATAACTCATATATGTTCACCATAACTGGAAACTGCAGTTGGAAGACAAACTATATCAAGTATATACAACTAAGTAAGAAGGGAAGTATACAGTTATTTTAGTAAAGCAAAAAACAATGAAAAGTGTTACAGCGCTCTTTGGTCTTCCCTGAAATTATATATTCTTTATGGGTGGCATTCATTATCTAATTTGAATCAGTGCCATATCAAACCCTAGTGAAGTGATTTTTAAATAAATTACACATTAAATGCAACCTAAATGTCTATTTTAAGGGTTCAAATATGTTTTGTGTCAAATGTCTTATTAAGTGTAATTGATATATTTGTGTAAATTCAACCTAATACTGACCTGTACTTAGTACTATGTAATGTATGTATAATAATACATATTATTAGTAACTTTTAATATTAAATTTGAAATGGTAACAACTTTTTGATGAGGAATTGGTGAACCCAGCAGATTAAATTATAATGGCAAAATGTAAAGATTTAAAATGACAGGGCTGCATTATTAAATAATACTTTTTAAATAGTTTTAAGCCTTTAACTGTTTTTAAGTATATTTAAACAAGTTTCTGTTTAAGCCTGAACTTATCTTGGAAAATTTTGTATAATATGCACATATCATCTATAATTTAAGTGTGAACTCCAGATGTGGGGTGGTAGTTAAGAGGTTACAGATGTAACAAATTATTATCTGTCTAAAAGATTGTTTAATAT